CTGCTGAGACATGGTCCAGCTCAGCAGCATAGGGCCATAAAGCTTGTTCCAAATATAGGATGTGAATGGAGACTTCCAGCTTAGTGATGTGGGGCTTCATACACTACAGTTTTCATTATAGCAATTAATAGGTTGTTGTCATATCTGTGTTTTATTTTTATTTCACAAAAAGAAGCTAATTCAGTTTGTTTGCTTGTTTGTTTTGGTACCAGGGATTGAACCCAGGGGTGCTTAACCACTGAGCCACACCCCTCAGTTTCCTCTTTTTTTTTTGACATGGTGTCTTGCTAAATTGCTGCTGGCCTGGAACTTCAATCCTCCTGCCTCAGCCTCCCAAGTCCCTGGGATTATAGGCATGCACCACTGAATTCAGTTTTATTTTTAATATTTTTGTCATATAAACACACATAGACTTATCAATGGACTATAGAAGATACAAAATAAGTTTTAAAGATGTCGAATCTTTAAGAATATTGTGGCAGCTTTCCAAAATTAAATAAGTTTTAATTTGGGGCTTGGGTGATAAAAAGTTTTCAGTTTTTTTTTTTTTTTTTTTTTGGTGATGCTAGAGATTAAACCCCAGGCCCTGAGGCATGCTAAGCAATTGTTCTATCACTGGGCTCCCCTCCCCTCCCTGAAAAACAATTTTGAATTAAGGAAAGGGATGGTATCACTGAAGGTGGAGATACTAATCTTATCTTAAACTGTTGAGAAAGTCCTTTAAGGAAGGGAATTAAAACTGATCTTTGACTTCTTTTAATATCTCCAGTGGAATTAGTCTTTTGGAACCTGTGTGCTGGTCAACTTCTGGGAACATGGCACACTAAGCTAATAGCTCATCTCTGCATATAAACAAATAGAAATGCCAGATGAAACTAACAACAAAACACCTACCTCCTCTCCAGGTTTATTAACAAACTGAAACTCTTGTAATTTTTTCTATAAAGAAAGTAAGAAGGAAGGAAGGGAAGAAGGAACTGGCCTCAGCTCTAAACAGTGAGAGCAGGCACACATTTCACTGCAAAGATAGCATAGGCATTTCTGTCCATTGATACATGCATTCCTCATAGATATTTTTATACGTAGAGTTTTGGCTACACCATTCATTCCTCTGATTGAGACCCTTACTTTTTGGAGTATGTTGGAGCTTGAGTTAAAATTGTTGAAGTCTCAGCTACTCCTTAGATCCTCAAATCCTAATCTGAACAATTACATATTTATTCCATGGTTATTTAGACCTTAAGATGATTATTGAATACATAGATTCTGATAATCTCTGCAAAAGTCTAATCATCTTTCAAGCTTTTTTATTGTGGTAAAATATATATATAGCATAAAATTTGCCATTTTAACTATTTAAATGTGTAATTCAGATGATTTAATTATATTTACAGCATTATGCAGTCATTGAAACCATCTATTTTCAAAATTTTTCATCACCCCTAACAGAAGCTCTGAAACTATTAAGAAATAACTCCCCATCTCCTCCTCTGCCCAGCCTCTGGTAATCTCTAATCTGTCTAGTATGCTTTCTCTCTGAATTTACCTACTAAGTACATTTCAGAAAAGTTTTCAAGGTTCATCCATTTAACAGCATGTATCAGAATTAATTCCATTTATGGCTGAAGTAGTATTTACACATCACATGTTTGTCAGCATATGAACACTTGTTATCACTTTTGGCTATTGTTAGTAATGCTGTATGAAATTGGGTACAAGTGTCTGTCTGAGTCCTTAGAATAGTGTTTTGCAAAGTTTAAAATGTGTAGATCCTATATAGGAAAAATTAAGACTTCTGGATTTCAAGTGTTGACAAAAATTATTACTCATTGTAACTGAAGTAGACACAAGAAGTTGAGAATAGCTCATATACCTATAAAAATCAAAATTAAATTTTCAGTTAAAGATAATACCAAAATCAATACAATTGAAATTAACAATTTGTATAAAATTATATTTACTGAAAGCAAATGGTTTATGTTGGTTTTAATAATGTAAAAATTTTTTGGCATGATGGACCATTATTAATTTAGCTGTCATCATTATTATGTTTCCTTTTTAACAGCAAACTTATTTTTAAATCACTAATACATTATTTTGGTGGACAGTCCATCTACTAGTGTGTCTCAGAATGTAAATCTAGGAAATAATGGAATAATAACACTGTTGCAAACAGACACCTGTAGGTACTCACTATCAGGTACTGACTGCTGGGAGCACAGGTTTTCATCATTCAGTTAACTCCACGCTTGTTTCTGTTGGAGCTTGTCTGAATTGCTAGCATCCTGATATCATTTGACTTTTTTATTTTTTACAAACACGTCACTTATTGTCTGCCTGTTGATTATTAGCCTATTTCCATGAAACTAGTACAGCACTCTATAAAGTATTGTGTTGTTTTCATGTTGTTAAATCAGATTCTGAGTTCATTAAATAAAAACCTAAATTCTTATTCCAGGAAAATGTCCTTTACTTTCAAAGTACACTGCAAAAGGGTAGTCTTGTGTTCATACTTACCAACTTCTAAAAGGAATAAACACTATCTTCCTCAAGGTATTGCTTGGCAAAACCTTAAATATAAACATGAAAATAAGCTGGAACACTAAAAGTCTCCTGATTTATAAAGTGGTCATCCAAGGATTAAAAATATTCCCATATTTGTTCATTACTGATAACAGAAATTTTTAATGGTCACAGAATTCAGATACCCCAAAGAATATACCAAAGGGTAGTAGTTTCTGGTTTGACAAATACCAATCCAGACATAACTCTACTGCTTTTCTCACATTGCATTCTAATGCTTTATTCCCAAAGTGTTGATCTGCCACTGAAAATAGGGTAGCTTGTGATTTCCAAACTTTGTGTGAATTCTTTTTTTTTAATTTAATTGATTTTATTTTTTTAAATACATGACAGTGGAATGCATTATAATTCTTACTACACATATAGAGCATGATTTTTCATATCTTTGTATATAAAGTATGTTCATGCCAATTCATGTCTTTATACATGTACTTTTTTTGCATTACAATTCTTATTACACATATATACCACAGTTTTTTATATCTCTGTATATAAAGTATGTTGACAGCCAATTCGTGTCTTCATACATGTACTTTGGATAATGATGTCCATCACATTCCACCATCCTTGAAATCCTGTATCATTTCATAATGAGAATTTAGAATTGCCATGTAGATGAATAGTTGTGATGCTCAAGTAAGGCATTTTCTTCCTAATTGGGAAGTATGTGAGGGTGGTTCTTGGTAAACACAGAGGCTCTGCACCTAGTAGGCACTTGATGGGTGCTAAGGAATTGTTTGTCTAAGCAATGATAGCCCCCTTCAACACAAAAGAAAAACACTGTCAGCTCAGCCTTGATAAGTGTCTTATCTAATCAATGATAATTTTCCTTTCTCTATTCCATATTAACCCCCTGCCATTCCTCAAACCTGTTTTCTACCTATTTGTATTACCCTCAAAAACAGTTTCACAGATTATGGGTTTTTTTCAAATATTTATATTTTAGTTGGACACAATACCTTTATTTTATTTATTTATTTTTATGTGGTGCTGAGGATCGAACCCAGGGCCTCCGCACGTGCTAGGCAAGCGCTCTACCACTGAGCCACAATCCCAACCCCAGATTATGTTTTTAATGAAATCTCAACTCTTACCCTATAAAAAATATATTAATTCATATGTGCAGATTCCCAAAGGGCAGGTCCCATTCTTCTTCCTCTTTCTCCCTGTCCTCTTCCTCTTCCTTCTTTAAAAAAATTGTTTTTATTGGTAGTACTGGAAATTGAACCCAGGGCCTCACACCTGTTAGGCAAGCATCTGGGTTCCCCCTTCTGACCAGGGCTTCTCCATGTTTTTTTTGGGGGGGGTAGTGGTACTGAGGATTGAGCTTGGAGGACTCAACCAATGAACCACATTCCCAGCACACGCTGCTTTATGTTTAAATTTTGAGACAGGGTCTCACTGAGTTGCTTGGCGCCTTGCTTTTGCTGAGGCTGGCTTTGAACTTGCAATTCTCCTGCCTCAGCCTCCTGAGCTGCTGGGATTACAGGTGTGCACCACTTGCCAGTCATCCATTTTTGTTAATGAAGATATTTTTCTTGATGATCCCCTTTCTGGGTGAGATCTTAAAAATCTACTATTTTCTTATTGCTAATAACATAACTTTCACTTAAAATATAAAACATTTTTTATATTTAACTCCCATGATTTTATGCTTCATTATATTTATAATTGATTAACTATAGTTTATCTCCATAAAATAATAAAATTTCAATGAATATATATGATTTATCTAGGCAGTATCTAATATTCTATAGACATTGTCAAGTATGCAAGGTGGTATGTCTGTTTTTCTATTTTAACAAGTTTAATAACTATTTTTTGCAATGTCACTCTTCAGTGCAGTTTTCTGTATTAATATATTTCAAAGTATACAAACATGGTGTCCTATCAGATCACCGTGAAGGTCAAGAGCCTACCTTTTATTTTTACAGTAACTTGCGTACAAAAAAGAACAATACTATATCTGGAATAAATTATTAGGTAATAATATAAATCCATTAATATTTGAAAATCTCTACCTTAATTTTGACTCATACTATCAACAGAAGTTTAGACTTGCTGTGGCCTCCCAAAAGAGATATTATGCAGAAGAAAATATATATTTTGTTATTAGGAGAAGGGCTTTAACTGTATGGCATCTACCTCTTGAGTCACCCTCCTCACTGTCAGTCATGCAGATTTTCTAGTACCCACCTCTTTGGTTGCCTCTTCAGCCTCATTTCCTTTTTAAATTTTCATAAAGCTTCAAAAGAAATTTTTTAACTTTCAAGTATTTCACTAAAGACTATTTTCTCAGCATCACATATTGTTGTATATCTCTGTAAATGTAAGTAAATAAAATTGAATAGGAATCCTATTTTATTAGGCTATTATAAATGGAATTTTATATAATTTTGCATTTGATTTTTGTACAGGCAGAAATACTGAGTGTCCTCAGTCACAGAAACATCATCCAGTTTTATGGAGTAATTCTTGAACCTCCCAACTATGGTATCGTCACAGGTAGGAACTCATTATTTGACTTCTTTCTTTCCCTAATTACCTAGCTTTAGATTGCTTAATATGCTAAAATGCTTAATATTAGGTTCACTCATGAATTGTGTACTACTGTCAGATGTCACTTTTGTTGCTATAAAGCATTAATAAATTTGATTATATCAATATAATTAAGAATAGTGTTTCCACTTCTACCCATGTTTAATTGTGCTAATTATATCTGTGTAAATGCTATTTAAATGCACTCGCAGCTGCAATGCCAATACTTAAAGGTGCCGTTTAACTAAAATTTCATTTAATTAGTTGAAATGAGAGATGTTTTTTGTAACTCTGTGACCTTTTATAAATTAAGATTTCTTGAGCTATTCATGCTGTAATTCTTTGCAAGGCATTTTAATCCCATTAGAGCATTTTTTCTTCAAGGTCTCTGACTTGAGAACAGTATTTTTCAGGTTTGGTCATTTGATCTGATAATGACCTTGAACCAAATTATCACTTAATTTGCAGCAGTGATTTTTTTTAACTGATGGAAATACCCTTTTCAAAAATGAGCATATAGAATATTTTGTAATGTGAAACAGAAAGACCTATTTTTAATATTCTGTGATTATATTTGTACAATCCAATGGGAAGCTTTAGGTCTACAGTAACTATAAGTTCAATTTTAAAGTAAGTAACTTTGGTCAGTTCTTTATCATGGCACTTCTTTGATTAAAAGCAAACCAAAAAAAAAAAAAAAAACCTCTGAAAGAATAGCTCTATTTTCTTCCACCACAGTAGTAAGAGCCTGGATTGTCTTTAAAGAAAATAGCAATAAAACACCCTCATTAAACAAATAATTATGTTAGGTACTTTCTTATAGATTATCTTACCTAATGCTTACAATAACTCTTTGAGTAAGGTGAAATAATTTCTATTTTACAAGTAAGAAACTAAAACTCTAATCAAAGTGACTTTCCCAGAGTCCTCCAGCGAGTGGTAGAAACAGAGGGGTTCACATTTCCCAGACTAAGTTTTCTTGAAGCTCCTTTTGAATGCAAGCCAGGTTCTGGAAGGCTATGAGCTTACTTGTTCTTCAATTCACAGGGACATGTTTGCTATTACTTCGGTCTTCTGACGATATGTAGTTTAACATGCTTTTGCTCTTTAGTAGCATTTTTACATAGGTTCTTAGCTGGAGGGACTTTTAGCCCAAATTGCTACCTTTAGGCTTGTATCAGAAATGGGATATGCTGCAATTTTCCTCTTGAGCCTGTGCTTCTTATTAACATTGATACCTCCAGTTGTGTTTGGTGTTAGGGATAAATCATATCTAACCTTTTGTATCAGTTTTCTGACTTAGAATTAGACCTTTTCCTAACTCAATTATCATATGGCACCTTTTCCCCAAATTCATTTTTTTTTTAATTTTTATACATGTGAATCTAGTTTTCTGATCCTCATTGGTGGCTGATGCTATTCTTGCCTAGTAGAGGCTATTTCTGTCTACCAAAAAGATTAGAAACTCTGCTGTTTCTATTGTACCCTTGATGTATAATGCTTTGGAGAAGATTTTAGCCTAAGTAGGTCAATGGGCTATTCATGGAGTTTTCTAGTATCTTGAGGTGAGGATGAATTGTAGAAATGGGAACTTGAGTCTGGGTGCAGGTTCTTTTCTTACTGTCAGTTCCAAGGAAGATGTGAACAAATTCATTCTTGGCCAGCATATTCAATCTGAATTACCTCATTCAAAGGAGGGAACTGAGTGATAAGTTTGATTTTATTTAGTATTTGTATCAAATTAGCTAGTCATTTATTTCATGCATCCTTTTAGCATTTCCTACCCAAATTCTTTGCTTAAATTGATTAGTTCTTGATGGATCTGTTTCCCTCCAGAGCCAGTAAGTAAGCAACTGTTAACATTAAACATTTCTTTAAAATAACATTTCAGAATTGTAGCATAATAACAAATTGTATACTTATTGCTCTCTTATTTACCTGTTAAAGTTGATTATTAAAGAGATCTATTAGAGAAGTTTCAGTGCTCTTAAATGTATTAATTTAGTGATTGTTGTTTTTGCTAGAGATTTAGTTTTAACTCAGTGTTTATTTATTCAAACCTTTTCAGTCAACCTTGTGCAGCATTAGGATAAAGCTATGCTCTACATGGATAGCAGTACATATACCAACTAAGCCAAGTTTTGGGGTAAAATAATCCAATGGATTAGGGATGATAGCACTTACCCTGCCTCTTGAAATGAATACAAGTCTTAGTGTGAAGAGGTGAAGGGAAAAATAAAGATAGGCAGCCAACAGACTTTGCTCATCCAGACTAGCTAGATAGCCCTCTGTGAATCTTGTCATCTGTATCAGATGTTGTGGACTCCAAAAGAGGATGTTTGAATGGCTTTTGAGTTTGTATAACTTGGAGTTTTTTGTTAATAGAAAATGTTGTTGCAGCCAATAGAAAATGTTGTTGCAGCCAGCAACTATTGTCAGTCATACTGAGGGCTTGATAGAATGATTTATCAGAGTAATGGAATGGAATGAGTGCTGAAATGGGAATTAGAAGATCTGAGATCTTGTCTTGACTCTGCCAAAGCTTCGTAGATGGGTCACTGAGGATCTCTGTATATCTCGGTTTTCTCATGTAAATGAAGGTATAAAAAGAGAGGATCTCTGAGAGAGAGTGTATGTGCACATTTATGCATGTGTGCTTGCTGAAACTTTTCATTACAGACTTATAAAACCTGATTATAAGGAGGCCTGGTGAAATGTCTAAGAAGCAGCTGCTAATTTATTTCCCTTAGAAGGGATGACCGTCATTCCCCTACAGTAACAAAGAAATGGAATAAGCAGAAACTCCAAAGTCAAGAGATAAGATAAAATAATGGGCTGTCTTTTCTTCGATCTTTGGAAACGGCTCAGTTCTGTACTAGTCTCATTCTTTAATATACATGCATACATACTATCATAAATACTTCCCTAGGAGAGGGAGAAAGGAGTTGTTAGATACTAGATCATGTAGCCCTTTTGTTGCATGCGGAATGGGAGGGGAACCCCCACTCAAAGTACCTGATATTCCAAGTGTAAAAAAGGGCTGCCAGACTGGGTCTCATGGTTTCAGGGAAAGCAATTTGGGATTCCAGAGACCTAAGGGGCTGCATCTTTGTTCTAAGGGGCTGATAGCACCCCTTGTTTGTCACCTATTCCATATTGCCATTTTTTTGGTTTTGTTTTTGTTTTTCTTGTAGTGCTAGAGATTAAACCCAGGGCCTCATGTATGCCAGACAAGCCCTCTACCACTGAGCCACATCTCCAGCCCCTCTGTGTTACCTTTTACCACTACACTAAGAGAGGATACTAATTCTGCATGATTTTTCAGCAAGCCCAAGTTCTCATTAAATTTGACCATGGAAAGCATACAAATTTAAGTGCCCAATCTCATTTCCTTTAACTTTATATTGATTTATTTTAAGCACAGACACATTTAATTTGCATTTTGATATTGTGCTGATCTTTTTAGCCAATTAAAGACATGTCAGTTTTTATTATAGCAGTTTGCAGACATTTGCCCAAATTCATTTGTTCTGCTGGTTATGATCCAAACTAAGTTTGGTCTTGGTGATATTTTATTATAAAGAGATTTCATGATAATGGTATTTGATTCAACAGTACTCAATATGTTTGGCTTTCTGTATCTGAATATTCCCCATTCATGAAACCAACAGAGGGTCAAAAATATTTTTAAATAATAATAAAACAATACAAATAAATAAATAATACAACTATTCACATAGTTTCTACATTGTATTAGGCATTATAAATAATTTAGAGCTGAATTAAAGTATGGATGCCCCTCCTCTAGTGTTGGGATTTTGTCCTGATAAACCCTCCATTAAGTTGAAAATACCCTAAGTTGAAAATACATGTAATGCACCTAACCTACTGAACATCTGAGCTTAGCAACGCAGTGCGCATGGAGTATGGATTGTTTTCCTCTTGTAATCTTGTGATCTTATGACTGGGAACTATGGCTTGCTATTCCTGCTCAGCAAGAAAGTAGATAAATTATTGTTCTGCGTATTACTGACCTGGGAAAAGGTCAAAACTCACAGTATGTTTTCTATTGAATGTATATCACTTTTACACCATTATAAAGTTGAAAAATTATAAGCTGAACTATTCTAAGTTGGGGACCATAGTATATGGGAAGATTACCTATGTTATATGCAAATAATATGTCATTTAAAAAATTTTTTTTAGTTGTAGAATACCTTTATTTTATTTATTTTTATGTGGTGCTGAGGATCGAACCCAGTGCCTCACACATGAGTGTTCTACCACTGAGCCACAACCCCAGCCCCAATATATCATTTTATATAAAACGTGCATCCAGGAATTTTAGTATCCTGGTGGGGAGGATCTTATCTTCATTAACTATCAAAATAAGACTGGTGGTAATAGTGTAGTAAACCTGATAATTTCAAGTTGTTTTCTCAACTATTATCTATGAGATGAAATGGGTTAATTTTTAATTGGTGACTCAGTGAAATAATAAATTGTTTAGTTCATCATTAGAATAACTTTTAAAGTTATTTAACATGGTTTTCAGAGTATATGACCTTCACTACAGTCTAATATGTTTGAAATATAGTTGTTTTTGGATCTCTGACTGTTAATATCTGTAAATTTATCCTAAGCTACAAGTACCCAAAGGCACAGAATTAGGGTTGTTGGATATTTTAGTCCCATAAGATATAATAACCCTGACTCATTTATTTTTTCTTTTTTTAGTACCAGAGTTTGAACTCAGGGGCACTGAACCAGTGAGCCACATCCCCAGTCCTTTTTTGTATTTTATTTTGAGACAAGGTCTCCCTAAGTTCCTGAGGCTAGCTTTGAACTCACAATCTTCCTGCCTCAGCTTCCTGAGCCACTGGGATTACAAGTGTTCACCACTGTGCCTGGCTGACTCATTGCTTTGTAAAGTTGTTTGTAGAAAACTTGCTTTTAATAACTTCCTGAAGTCATAATTCAGACTTCATAGTTCCAGACATTTCTTAATATGTGTTAAGCTTTGTACCTCTAGTTCTCCTTCTTCCCCTCTTTCTCCCTAACACATATAGAGCACAGCACCCAACAAAGAATACATATTTTTTAAGTACACATAGAACATTCTCCAGAACGTATCCTAAGGCCATGAAATAAGTTTCAGTGTATCTTAAAGAATTGATATTGTACAATGTATGTTTTCAAACCACAGTGGAATTATGTTAGAATTCAACAATAGAAAATATGAAAATATGAAAGAAATATGGAAAATTTCCAAATATCGGAAATTAAACAACATGTTTCTAAATACCCCTGGGACAAAAATGGGATATTGATCCTGAAAAAAAATTTGAATGGGTTTTAAAATGTTTCAAGTTGAAAGATTATAGAATGCAATTGGAGCAGTATTTACAGGGAAATTTATAGTTCTCAGTTTTAGTATTGATAAACGAAGTTTCTTCAACCTGAAGAAACTACAAGAACAAAGTAGAACTAAAGTAAGCCAATGAAGGGAACAGAACTCAATAAACTAGAAAGCAGAAAAATAATGGAGAAAATTCAATGAAAAAATTTGTTTTAAAAAATCTTTTTATTAATAAAATTGACCTTTGATTAGATTGAACAAGAAAGGACAGAATATACAAATTAGGAAAGTCAGGAATCAAAGAGATGACAGCACTGTGGCTCCTACAGAAGTTTTAAAAGATCATAAGGGAATGTTATGAACAACTTTATATTAACAAATTAGTATTTAGATTCAATGAACAAATTTCCTAAAAAGACCCTAGGTATCAAAAGTGAACCAAGAATAAAACAATAATAAGCCTATAAGAAAATTTTTTGAATTAGTAATTTAAGATATTTCCATAAAGAAGAGCCCTGGCCCAGATAATTTCACTGGTCAGTTTTAGCAGCTGTTTAGAGAAGAAACAATACCCATCCACACTCTTTCAGGAGACAGAGGCCAATATTCTCTAAGGTCAATATTATCCCTGTACCAAAGCCACATTAAGACATAAGACAACTACATATCCCTTGTATAAATAGATGCAAAAATCCTTAACCGTATTAACATACCATAAAAAGGACTGAACACCAGAACCAAGTGGAATTTTCCCAGAAATTCAAGGTTGGCTTGACATCTGAAATCATTTAATGTAAGGCACTATAGTCGATAAATATAATAAAAGATAAGAGCTTTATATGAATCTTTCAAGACACCGAAAAAGCATATGACAGAGTATTAACACCCATTGATAATGAGACTCTCAACAGACTAAAGTAGAAAGAAATTTCCTTTACCTGATAAATAGCATTTACAGAAATCCACAGCTCGCATCATATTTAATGGCGAAATGCTTGATGTTTTCAAGGAGACTGAGGAAAAAACAACAGGTTTCACTCTCACCGTATCTCTTCAGCATGTACTGAAGGTTCTAGCCGGTCAGATCAGGCAGGAAAAAGAAAGAAATGCATTCAAATTAGAAAGGAAGAAGTAAAACTGTCTTTCTAACATCCTCTCTGTAGAAAATCCCAAGGTATCTACAAAAATAAAAATTTCTAAGTCTAGTATGCATTTTTAGCAAGGTCACAAAGATCCAAGGTCAACATACAAAAATTAGTTTTACTTCTATATACTAGAAATGGAACAAACTAAAAATGAAATTAAGAAACAATTCTGTCATAATAGTTTCAAAACAAATAAAACAGTTGATTATAAATTGAACAAAATAAATGTAAGATTTGTACAATGAAAACTAGGGAACATAACTGAGAAAAAATAAAATCTAAATAGATATTTCATGTTCATGGTTTAAAAGATTCACTGTTAACAAGATAGCAGTGTTCCCCAGGTGATCCACAAGTTCAGTACAATTCCTGTCTAAATCTCGCATTTATAATTTGACAAGACAGTCTTAAAATTTATATGGAAATACAAAAGACCTATAATAAGACGAACCAGTCTTTATAAATTCTTAAGTTTGAGGTGTAAGACTGCTTTATTTCAAAACTTATTTTAAGTCTGCAATAATCAACACAGTGTAATGTTGGCTTAATATATATAGATCAGTGGAACAAAAGCAAGCCTAGGGGGAAAAATATTTGTGCATTGGTTTTCAACAAAGGGGCCAAGACTATTCAATAAGCAAAAGATGGTCTTTCCAGCAAATTATGCTGAGATGATTAAAAATCCATACATAAGCCAAACAAATTTAAATCCTTATCTCATGCCCTAGACAAAAATTAACTCAAAATGCATCATAACCTAAGTATAAGGGCTAAACCTATAAAACTTTTAGAAGAAGAATAGGAGAAACTCTTCATGCCTTTGGATTAGGCAAAGAGTTCTTAGATATGACAGCAACAGTACAAGCCCATGAAAGAAAAATCTATAAATAAGAATTTTTACTCTTTGAAAAATCGTGCTCTTAAGAGAATGGAAAGACAAATGACAGATTCAGAAAAGATTTGCAAATCATATCTCTAATAAAGGACTTGTATCTAGAATAAAGAACTCTTAGAATTCAATAAAACAACTCAAGAGAAGCCAGGTGAGATGGCGCACACCTATAATCCCAGAGGCTTGGGAGGCTGAGACAGGAAAATTGCAAGTTCAAAGCCAGCCTCAGCAACTGTGAGGTGCTAAGCAACCAGTCAGTTAGAGACCCTGTCTCTAAATAAAATACAAAATAGGGTTGGGGATGAGGCTAAGTGATTGAGTGCCCCTGAGTTCAATCCCCAGTACCCCCCACCCCAAAATGGGTAAGAGATTTGAATGGATATTTTGCTTAAAAAACAACACACACACACAAAAGGGGCTCGGGGGTGTAGCTCAGTGGTACAGCATTTGCCTAGTGTATGTGACCAGGGTTCAATTCCCAGTAATGGGAAGGAAAAAATATACATATAAAAATAAAGAACCAAAAAGAAAAGATGTTAACTTCATTAATTACTAGAAAAATGCAAATCAAAACTACTACAAGATACCACTAAAGGTACACCCAATAAAAGTATGCTGCACTTGTTGGTACAAGTGAAGCATAATCATAAAGATAGTACCAAGTATTGACAGAATATGGAGAAACTGAAACCCTCACTTATTGCTTGTTGAAATTGTAAAGCAGTTTCATAGTTTATTAAGATAAACTTACCATATGATCCCTACTCCCAAGAATCTACCTAAGAAATGTGCATATTTCCACACACAGACACAAATGTTGAGAGAAGCATTATTCATAATATTAACAAAAAACTGGGAACAACCCAGTTGTCTCTCAACTGGTAAATGAATGTAGTATATCATACCATAGAAGAGTATTCAGCAATAAAAAGGGATGAAGTATTAATACATGCCACAACACGAATGAACCTTGGAAACTGCTGAGGGAGCAAAGTCAGACACAAAAACCACAATTGGTCTGATTCCATTTATCTGAAATATCCAGAAAATGCACACAGGTAGTGAGAAAAAGCAGACTGTCGGGCTGGGGGTGAGAGTAGTGATTAACTCTAAGCTGCGCGAGGGAATTGTTTAGAATGGCAGAAAGGCTCTGAGACTGGACTGTCATGATTGTTGCCCAACTCTTGACTTTACTAAAAATCATCAAAGTGTGTACTTACAGGCAGTGAATTTTATGGCATGTAATTTATTCTTCAGTAGAGCCATTTTTAAAGGAATCTTCTCACTTTCTTGACCTTCTGTGTTTGTATTTTGAGAGCTCTTCTAAATCCAGATGCAACAAGGATTGGTTTGTTGACAGTTTGTAACATAAACTCTGATTTATTTATTTAATAGTATTTATCTCACCAGAATAACAACTTTTAAAGAAATACCTATTTGCCTGCATGTCTGTGTTTCAAGTACATTTTTCCAACACTTCTTTGTGTTTCTCAGTTCCTTCTAAATGGCTTTTGATTCTCAACTAAAGTTTACTGTTCATTTTGTGTTAGCGGGCTTGTCTTTCACAGATTCCCCCTATCCCCAATGATATTAACTTTTAGAAAACACAGCATAGAATAAATTTTTGTATACTTTGGATGTCTTTTGTTAACTTTGTTTGTTGATGAAAATATAAAGTCTTGTTTCTGAAATGCTCCTTGGTTTTGATTATGTGCTTTTCTTTCCTTTTAAAATAGAATATGCTTCTCTGGGATCACTCTATGATTACATTAATAGTAACAGAAGTGAGGAGATGGACATGGATCACATTATGACCTGGGCCACTGACGTAGCCAAAGGTAACATTGCTTGGTGAATTCTTATAGAATTGGTGGGAGCATTTCCTCACTCTGACATGGGGACTTAAGACAGAAATTTTTTTATTCTGTTTCTTAGATATTCTTTTTTCAGAACAAAAGTAATATAAAAAATTCTGCAATTCACTGTACATATTTTAGGTGACTACCTTTCAACTCCTGAATTCCTTTTCTGTTTTTTCATCATTCATTTCTTTTCCTAAAATAGAGTTCTGCAAAATTAGTAAACTCCAGGGTGAATGTTTTAGTCTTGTTTTGTGACATTGTAATTGACCAGCTGCTTGACACTTTAAGTGGAAAAATTATAATTCTGTTGTCCATGTGAGAGTCTCTCCCTAGTATCTAAAAACATGATTTAGTGTAGGATTAGCTCCACTCATTTTGTATACATAGTAATATACTAAAAATAGTAATGACTCGCCAAAAAAGTTTTCTCTTGCCATGTAAGAGCAACTCAGATTTTATTTTATAGTCAGTGTAAACTTGGATATCACCTTTGGAAATAAAATAGTTTTAATATGCAAAATCCCTAAACAAGGTGTCTACTCCCCCACCACCTACCATAAATTCCTACAGGGACTAATGCTTTCTTAAGCAATTCAGATTCCATTTATTTTTATCTTTTTTTTCCATTTTTCGAACTGAACATTTTTAGTTTCATTTGTAACTGTCAGAGTTACTTTGGAAACAACATAATCTAAGTAATGAATGCTGGTAGTTACATTTGTATTCTGGTAACCTCTAGGAAGCAAGTGTGTCCGCATTTTACTGGAGGCACTTAACTCCTTTGCATCTTGCTACTCTATTCTCTAGAAACATCTCTTTACAAAGCAAATGTAAAGAGAACTGCTCATACTTTGCTTTCAATGCAAGGTCACCCAATGACTTAGGAAAGCAGTAGTCTATCCTTCTGGGAATTATCTTAACTGAAGTTTTATGCATACCTGTCAAATTCTTCAAATATGGAGAGTTAAAATTTTTCTTAAGGTTTCGTGCTAGATTCTGCTACTAAATGATGTTTTATTACCTTATAAGAATAACAAGCTCTGTGTTTCGGATGAACTACGTAAAGCTTGGGTATATTAATGAACTTAATTGTGTATTCATGCATCAAACATCTCAAATCAATCTTGAAATTTCACATTAAGATGTTTTCATGTGGGCTGGAGTTGTAGCTCAGTGGTAGAGCACTTGCCCAGCATGCATGAGGCACTGGGTTTGATTCATGACACCACATATAAATAACTAAAATAAAGGCCAACTGACAACTAAAAAATATTTTTTAAAAAAAGATATTTTCATGTAACATCACAGTCACTTCTCTGCATGTCAGAGGTATAGGAACCACTTGTGTGTAAGCAAGATTATGTGTTGCCTGCAGTATTATGGAAATATATTTACACAAATGGAAATGCACACATGGCTCTTCTTGACACTTAACCTTATAGATATTTAAATTTAAGGTGCTTGGCCAATTACATCCATGTTATTACTTCATGGCGCTTAGCATGGATAGACAACAATGACAGAATGACATCAGCATTCTGCTTCGAGTTGTCCTAGTAGCCTATAACACACACACACACACACACCCGCCCCACCCCACCCCTACCACATCATTTGTATCTGGGGCAAGTCTCTTGGTTCTAGCACAGCTGTGACCTTCTGGAGTTTTTCAAGAGTTCCTGATTAGCATTAGAAGGGCAGGAAAGAACAGAACAGAATAAAGTAGCAAAGCAGAACCTGAGGTAAAGGGTAGGAAAGGAGGGGGGAAGTAGACACCCTGAACAGAGTCCAAATCTATGAAGTAATAAAATCCCTTTGCCAGATTGGTGAATTGGTCCGAAAGGCAAGCACTAATGTATCTGGCCTCAGCTGAGGATGTCTTTACCTATTTATAATTATAATTTTTTAACTTTAAAAGATCCTTTTAGATGGCCTATAAAAAGGAAAAAGAAACAATTCTTTAGGAATAACTTCAAACCTCTCTAGAAAGCTAGTAGAACTTGGAGATTAAATAGGAAAGCTTGACCTTGTTGATTCTGTTCAAGTTCAGCGAGGCACCTCTCAGTTTTAACTGTGATTTGAAGTTACTGAAACAACTATATGTTGAGAAATCAGAGACTGAATAATTCATTCCATTAATGAGAGTGGACCTGTGCATTTTGAAGTAGGCATTGCTCACCATCATTGCTGTTGAAAGAGTTACGTCCTCAAAGCTAAAAAAGATTCACTTGTTTCTGGATGGGAAGAGGAATGGGAGTTGAAGCAGTCCATCTGAAATTGTCACAAGTCAGTCAACAGTGCATAAAGGAACAATTAAGCAGATCAACTTGGATCCAGCCTCGAAATGTCACCATTAATTCCAAATCCTCCCCAAAAGTTTTCTCAATGACACATCAGATTTTTTTTTTTCTTTTAGGAAACCCTGAATATTAAGCCTGATTGACATATTTTTCAACCTTCTAAATGAAGCTGAATTATAGTTGATTTTATAAAAACAAATTAAATAGAATTTTATATGATTATGATTACTATATAGTAATATGTACACTAAATATTATTTAAGTATATTCCATACATTGCACACAAATAATTTATGGTACTTTTTAATAATAATCTGCCATGAGGAAGAAATTGCCTGTATTTTAAGCTTTTATACTTGAAACTGTCTTTGTTTCTAATAGTAATTAAACAGATTTTACCTGAAAAAATTTCAGGGATTTGTTTCTAAATCAAGAGAGAAGTAGCTATGAAATTGGATCATAAAATTATTAAATGTTACTCATGTTGTAACTATTAAATTTTTATAGTTTGAAGTATGTAGAACTTCATATTAAAATAGATTCCCTTTGTCCCAATTGCTTCTTTCTTAAGAACATTTAATTTCTAATACTTTTGTTAACTTCCCTCTTTTCAGTGATATCATTATATGAAGTTTACACTTTTTCTTATTTTCTGTGTTCGTTCTTTTCATGTTTCTTCAATATATAATAATCATAATAGTAGCAGAATAATAGATTATTAATAAATTAACCTTTATAAGATTGAAATATTCTATATACTTTTAAAAATGAAAGCCTAATTATTAAATTGTTTTCAATGGATAGTTCATTAACAAAAGGAACCTGTTTGATTTGGCAGTGGAAGGGGCAATTTTCTCCATTATTTAGAACAGAGAACTGGAGAAATAAATACTCAGTAGAAAATATTTTTTTTCTAAAAGTGTAGCTAATATATACTTATGAAAAGAGTCAAACACTACTAAGGAGGTTACCACAAAAAATTATCTTTTAAAAAGTCTAATTTTTTATTCAGAATAATGAATGCATTTAGTTTATACTTATGTATCTTGATTCATATTATAAATATGTTGGAGAGAATTTTGTAGTATGTTTAAATAAAGATTATTTCAAAGATTTATCCTGGTGAAAATATTTTAGTTTACAAAATAAAATATTTTGTAACTACTATATATTTTTCTATCTTAAGATCATAAAATCCTTTACCGGTCATAACTCAGCAGTCCTCCCGGCTCCCACTCCTGCCCTATCTTCATTCCCAGGTCTTATTAGAATGAGTACTGAGAAAAATAAACCAGCTGGGTAACTGCAAACCTGCAGATATCCATATACAAATGGGAAACAACTTTAGCGGGTGCAGAAGGCAGTTGGTAGTAGGATACCTAGTCATGGAGCACTTTTTCCAGTGATTCCCATGCTATAGTCATACAAATTCCAGAAAGCTAAGGTGTCCTTACTAGGTATTGTAAGAAGCTAGCTGTACCAATCAAATTCCAACCTCTAAGAGATTAAGACATAAATCTTGCTTAAATAAATGTTACTAATGTAGACATAGCCTATTTCTGTTTTATCAATCCTGGAAGAATAGAGCATGTGGATTTAGTTTCTGCTATTGAATTCTTTGTGAAAATATGCATGGTAATACTGATGCAGTATTGAAAAATATTAATAGGTCTTTTTTCTTTCTTGTATGAAAAGGAATGCACTATTTACATATGGAGGCCCCTGTTAAGGTGATTCACAGAGATCTCAAGTCAAGAAATGGTAATGTAGTGATATGTTTTTTTACACATTACAGATTACATGCACCTGTGTATAGAAATAAGGATCATGCTTTATTTATCCTTTGTGACCTGATGTTTGACTCACTACTGATACCATGAAAATTTTCCACTGTTAATAAATATCAAAATTCTCTATATTGTTTGAGGAAGCTGCATAATGTTCCACTGTATGAATATAGCACAGAATGTGGACAATTTGGATTGTTTACATTTTTTCCTATGATAAGAAATGTTTGGTTTAATACCTTCCAGCCAAATTTTTCAACACATCCCTAATTTTTCCTTGGAGTCATTTCCTAAAAGAGGTATTGCTGGGTCAAAGTGTGTAGTCATGTATTTTTAGTTTTCTATGTTTACATGGTTCTCTGTACTAGCATTTTTGAGTTTCATTTCTGTTACTTCTTCATTATATGGTATAAATTTTTATGTCATCTTTGCCCATATTACCTGGAATAGTGCCCAAAAATGATCAGTATGCTTAGGAGTTTGGAAATAAAGGCCTTTTTTCTTTTCCTTCTCTACTTTTGTATTTTCTATAGTCTATTTATGATTCTTTGTTTTATATTTTGGAGAGTGAACATTTTAAAATAACTTGCAGTTAGACATTACCTTCAAGTAGGAATAGTAACAGTGCTTCTTCCATTACATCACTTCAAAGTTATGGGAGAAAGGCAGTAAGATTATTTAGCTAAAGCAGAACTAGCTCAAGCAAACATCAAAGTTTGCTACTTTAAAGAAAAAAATCTCGCTATCAATTACTTTTTTTTTTATTATTTCCAAGCAACTTGCAGTAAGGAGGAGAATTATTTATTTTAAGAAAATCTTTAGGTCAGTGTTGCAAAAAGGGGTGTTTGATAGTAGTGTGCTTCTTAGAATGGGTAGCTATAGCAAGTAGAGGAGGAGGACCAGGGAATGAGCAAGGTATGCTTGCTCATACTTAGGACTGTGAGGTCTGACTGGGAGGGGTGGGAGAGATGGGGAGGAAGGAAAGTTATTGGCAGCTGCCCCTCTTCAGGAGCCCAGGTTGGACCCCCAACCTAGTCGAGATGACTCTGCCTGACTATCTTGCCCTCTTTAAGTCATCACTTATCCTTTGGCTCATCTTAGAAGCTTCCTGGAACTAAACATTCTTGATATAGATGACTAATAGGAAATCATTAGGAAATAATCTAGAATCTATTAGGAAGTATCAGAGTTCTATGTCTGGAAATTTTCAGTTCATGCTCAGAATTTCAATTTAAACAAGTTATTTGATTTCAGTAGATTCTAAATCTTCCACAAAAGAACAAATTAACTAATTTGTGGGTTTATCTATTCTATCAATATGAAGACCATATAATAATGGAGAATTTTACTTTACCATTTAAAAAAATTATAATCTGTACAGTTACTTGATAGGAGCACAAAACTCAAATTGAAAAAATAAAGACTCAATTTTTTGCAGTTTTTCCCCCGGAGAAAAGGAACAAGAATTCCAGTTTCTATGTTATACATTTTTATAATGTTATTTTTAAAAGTATTTGTTAATCTTACAATAAGAGAAAGCACTAGAGATTTTCAAAAACAATTGAATGTAATATTAGCAGTATTTACATTTCTATTTGCAAAAGTTTGTAGCAAACGTCTAACACCATGTTTACCCCAAGGCTATTTCTACATATGAGGTCATGCAAAGATTATTTTCTCCATTTATCAAAATCATTAGTAGCAGCTAATAAAAACCTGTACTGATTATCTACCATGTTCAGGCAATGCGTGGCTTACAAAAGAAATACCAGAAGCAGTACTTCAGGATTCTGTCCTTGGCCTTCTCTCCTCTTATGGTCTTATCCTCCCACTCCCACTTACACCTTAATATTCCCATGTAGGTCTCAATTTCAAAACTATCTATCTGCTTATTAGACATGTGTGTATATATTTTATATGACCCTAAAATGAATTTTGTCCAAATTAATCTTTTCATCTTCTCCTTCAATCCTAAAAGACCATTCCTGCATCCCTCTGCCAGTGACTGGCAGTACAGTTGCCCAAGACAGAGATTAAATAAAACAGAATTAGCCATTTAAATCCAGAGCTCATGTTCTAACCATTAAGCTGTTTCACTCCTTATCTGCTTTCATCCTTGAAACCTCATCCCCAATATCCAGCTATTCATCCAGCCTCACTGATCCTGTCTCCTGAGTATTTTTTCTCTCCCACCCTTTTTCTTTTTACTTTTTAAAATTAGAGCATTCTAGTTTAACATAATAGCTAGGTTTATCCCTACAAACCAAACATGCATGGAATTCGATTATAGTTCATATTCTCCCCCTTTCCCTTTCTCCTTCCTCTCCCCATTCTCCTTCCTTGACTGTACTTGATCCTCCTTTTACTCATCTATTAATTTATTTTGATTGATTCTTTCTACTTATACCTAAAGGTGAAATTAATGAAATTATGGTATTTGCTGATAAATGAATGAAAATGGAGAACATTGTGTTAAGTGAAATATGCTAGTCTCAGAAAATCAAAGTTGAATCAAGGGTCATATCTCTCAATGTGGAACCTTGAGCAAAATAAGGGAAAGAAGGAGGGGGGAGGAGGATCAGCCACCATAAAGATATAGGGAAGATCAGTAGTGTAGAAGAAGGAGATCTTGAGGGAGGAAGGAGGGATGGAAAAGGAGGAGAAATGCAGAATGAATTTTTAAAAATCATTGTATGTGTATGTATAAATACACCGCAGGGAATTTCACCCTTATGTCCTGAGTATTTCTCGACTCACTATTTCTTTCCTGTCCTTTTTCACAGCACTAGTACTGTCATCCTCATCTGTCTCTTGGGCCACAACCTCTTGCATGCACAGCTCCCTCTTTGTCTCTTTTTCTCTTCTATAACATGGTCGCTTCCTGCACATTTGCTCATTTCCTTTCTTCATGAAAATTGTTGGTTGACTTTCCATTTCTCACAAGGGCTCTTCTTTACTTGACCCTGCCTCCCAAAATTGTCATGCCTTGTCTTCTGCTCCTGAGGTTTTGCATAGATTCTCTTTCTGCCCAGAAAACTACTTTCCTCCTCCAGCATGCCTCATTTCTAGTTAGCCCCTACATTTTTAGGTCTTTGTATAAGCATCATTTCTTCCTGAAAACTTCATCTGACCTCTGAAGACTTGGATATCCCTGTGGGTTGGGTCCATATACTCTCATTGTGGAATTTTTTTTCACTTTATTGTTGATGTTTAATTTTCTCTCTGATCAGACCATAAACTCCACCAGAGCCAAGACAGTGCCAGTCTCATTCACCTTCTGTATAAAGCATATACATGGCTGTTGCCAGAGTAGATAGTCAGCAAATAGTTGTTAAATGAGTGAATGAATGTATGAATAAGGAAATAAATGAACATTGTCTCTGCATTTAAGAATATTATTTTGAGGGGCCAGGGTTGTGACTCAGTGGTAGAGCACTTGCCTCGTACGAGTAGGGAGCTGGGTTCGATCCTCAACACCACATAAAAATAAACAGACAAAATAAAGGTATTTGTCCATCTACAACTAAAAATTTCTTTAAATTTTTTAAAAAGAATATTATTTTTCAAATTACAAATGGTCAACAAATATATGAAAAAATGTTCAATATCCTTAGCAAACAGGGAGTTGTAAATCAAAACTACACTGAAATTTCATCTCACCCCACTCAGAACAGCAATTATCAAGAATACAAATAACAATAATTGCTGGTGAGGATATGGGGAAGAAGGTACACTTATACATTGTTAGTGGGACTGCAAATTAGTACAACCACTTTGGAAAGCAGTATGGAAATTTCTCAGAAGAATAGGGATGGAACCATCATATGACCCAACTATCCTACTCCATAGTTTTTATCCAAAAGATTAAAAAAATCAGCATACTGTAGTGATACATGTATATCAGTATTTATAGCAGTACAGTCCACAATAGCTAAGTTATGGAATCAGCCCTAGGTACTCATTGATAGATGAATGAATAAAGAAAATGTGGTACATATACAATGGAGTTCTACTCAGCCATAAGAAGAATGAAATTATGTCATTTACTTGTAAATGGATAGAACAGAACATCATGCTAAGTGAAATATGCCAAACTCAGAAAGTCAAGGGTCAGATGTTTTCTCTATATGCAGAAGCTAAAGAGAAAAAAGTAATAAACAAAAGGTATCTTGCAAAAATACAAAGGAGAACAGTAGAGTAGAAACAGGGGGCTGAGGGAGGAGGAAAGGCAAAGGGGACGAACTGGGGAATAAAGTTGACTAAGTTATGCCATGTGCACATATGAGTATATCACAATGCATTCCAATTATATATAACTACCAGTAAAAATAAATAGAAAGAAGATCAGTAGAATAGAGGGGGATTGGGGGAAGAGGGGAGAATGGGCCAGTACTGCACATTGAAATTTGGAAAACTATGTACTATGCATTTGTGAATATGTCAAAGTAAATCCCACCATCATATATAACTACAATGCACTATAAAAAGAAATTAAAAAGAAAAGAAAATTATTCTTCAGTTGGGAGAAAGAACTATATATACCATAAAGTAAATGATGCTAATGATTTCCTTAGTATCATATTGGCATTCTACCAGCAAAACCCAGGTAAAAATTTGGTTCTCCTAACTACTCTAATTTGGTGCCTTTTTTACTGGACAGTACTGCATTTGTTTATATCAAGTGTCTTAAAAGCCTTTTAAGTCAGTACCTCATGGAATTAAGCTTTTATTTTAATGTCAGATCTCTTTTGCAAAATCTTTAATACGGTAAATATTTTGATTTTTGTCTTTTATAATATCAAATTAGAAATTTAACATATTGAAGCTAGAAATAGAAGGTTATGCTTTTTTCAGTATAAGACAATTTAATAGATGATTGTCATACTTTATCTTTTTTTTTTTTTTAGTTGTTATAGCTGCTGATGGAGTATTGAAGGTATGACTCTCTTTTAATTAAAAAAAAAAGATTTTTTTTTAACGTCTGATAATTCTCTTATTAGTCACTAAGTACAAAGTTGATCCTGGTTTCTCTGTTCTCAGATCTGCGATTTTGGTGCCTCTCGGTTCCATAACCATACAACACACATGTCCTTGGTGGGAACTTTCCCATGGATGGCTCCAGAAGTTATCCAAAGTCTACCTGTGTCTGAAACGTGTGACACTTATTCCTATGGTGTGGTGAGTTCACTTCTTGTTTCTTGTTTGCTAAAGGAAATGCAGAAACAAAACAGCCTAGAGAAGAGAGACTTCATAATTGAACCTGGTGTTGAGTGTACAGCTGTTTTTGGAGGAATGTCTAAAGCTGAGGCATGGGGAGAACACGTCCCAGTTGTTGAAATTTGTGCTTTTATCACTTTTATGCATCTGAGTTATTTATACTGTGTTGAGACAAAAGCAGTACCACTTCCAAGAAACAGAACCTGAGTTAGCCTAAGGCTCTCCTGCAGAGTACTTTTTTGCTAGGTGAAAATACAACCAGAGACTGTCTCTGGAATTCAGGGGGAAATGTGGATCATTTGGAATAGGACTTCCGTATGATAGATTTCTCAAGCAATATAAAACCCAACAATAGACATGCCAAGTGAGTTAATTAATAGGAAACTTTTGAGTGTCAACTATTAAAGTGATTAGTGAGTTTCTAAAAGTACAAAAGAAAATGTACTTGGCACTTAGCAGATGTCTACTGCAAGTGACAGAGTAGTAGTGACCATCTGGAACAAGAATCTGAGGTATTACAGGAGAATGACAACAGAGCATCAAAGAAGAATGGAATCCTGTCGAAGTGTGGGGAAAGATGCTCAGGGAATAGAGACCACAGGAGGGAGCCAGTTAGGGAGCAGGAACTTATGCAGGAGTGAGGAGATGGATCATCCTGGAAAAAAGCAACCCAAGGTGGGAGCACATCTTGCTGGAGAAAGAATTCATTTGCTGCCTTTCTTTGAGGATGAGTTCTATATTCCTTTTAAAAAATCCAAAACAGTATTTGGAACTCCTTGTCTTTGCATCTCATCTCCTTGTATTCATGCTATGTGTGCTACCTCTCTGTACCATTACTTTTTAAATGGACATTTTCATTATAATAGGAAAAGAAGACCAGTTTAGGCTCAAATCAGCATGCTTTTCTTCCTGAAGTTATGTGTATTCTCACTGAAGGTACTACTAACAGTGTAAGAGGAGGTCAACATGGGCAAACATGTTCCCTTTCTTTAATCAGTCTCTGGGTATTTACTGCTGGCTTCATTACACTTTGGTCTTTTTCAGTTGGCTAGATCTTTCTAAATCATAACACAGCCTATGTACCAAATTACTTTAATAGAGATGAGTTTTGTTGGCTATTGAAAAAAATCATTTCTAGAATGAAATATGTGTTTTGGCTGAAGGCTAGAATTTTAAAGGTTAAACGACAACAGTAACATCAAGCTAAATCTCCAATTCCTCTCTAGTGTTTCTAAGAATGAAAACTATACACTATTATAGATAGTGGTGAAATAATTCTCACTGAAAAAAAGGAAAATAAGTAAAATGAAAATTTCAGAGACTGGATTCTAAAATAGGTCTTCTATGTCAAAGTTTACTACAGTCTAATCATCAGACTTTTTCATCTTATGAGGATTCTGAAAATGGGGATCTGTTCTCTTATGAGGTTATGTTCCTACATATTTAAGCAAAATTAATGTATTGAGTTAGGCACTGTGCTGACACCAACTTAGGGCAATTTAAATTATATGTGGCCTACTCACTGGTACCAGAACAAAAGGTAACAAAACTTTTCTACAAAGGACCAGGTAGTACATATTTTTGGCTTTGAGAGCCACTCACAGTCTCTGATACATATCCCTCTTTGTGTTTTACAAACCCTTTAAAAATAACAATCCTGCTCATGTTCTTTAAGAGACCATACTTTGCAGGCCCCACTGTGGAACAAGGAGACTTGGAAAAATAAGCAACATAGCTTATCTGCAGCTTGTGCCAGCTGACTGTTCAATAGCAATTCAATAGGTGGGCAGTTTTTACTCCTTTCATGTGCATATAAAATTATAAAAACTTGTATATCTACTGTCATGTATAACTAATTAGAACAAATTAGATATAAAGTTTACTTAATCTATACATATATATAAGATAGTTTAATACCTTTTGTATTTTCTGTGATATCATATTCAAAACTGCTGTTTTGAATTTGAGGTTTATGTTCCATTCACTTTTTTTAATATTTATTTTTAGTTGTAGATAGACACAATACCTTTATTTTATTTATTTATTTTTATGTGGTGCTGATGATCAAACCCAGGGCCTCACATGGCTCTACCACTGAGCTACAACCCCAGCCCCCATTCATGTTTTTATAATGACATCTGATGCATAAATACCTACAAAGAATTACGTGAGATATATATATAAACATAATTTGGTGGTCATGGTTTTTAAATTATTTTGCATAGTTTTATGAATTAAAAGATTTGAGGTTTATTTTCACACTCTACAAGGAATAATAACTGGCTGCCTATGCTTTTACTTTGAAAATTTTCTCCAAGTCTTAGAATTTCCCTGTTAGAAATTTTTGATATAAAGATATAACTGTAAGTTATTCTCATATTATTAGTTATTCTTAATATTATTTCACTTATGAAAACAAACTCCATGCTACCTTCTCTCAAAGTCTTTCAGTTGCCCAGGCCTCTGATGTGAGGTGCACCTATCTGCTCTTCATTAACTGAAGTTAATGACTGGGTTCCAAGAACCAAGAACAAATGCCTTTATGCACATAAGCCATAAAAGTTGTTGAGAGATGACTTTGGTTAGGATCTTTCCTGTGTCTCTACAGTCTCTTTCAAACCTTGACCCCTTCTCTTAAGCACAGTCTGAGTCTGCCTTTCTGCAGCTGCAGGTGTTCAGTTTGTTTTATTGAAAACTTTCACACAGGCAACTGGGCTCTGCTTTCCAGAGGACCTGAGTGGATCTGTTTGTAGATTAGGCCTTCTATTTACTTGTTTACTGACCCTACCATTGGTTGGTTTGATTTGGTTTAACTGAGGAAGGAATTTAACAAATGCTTATCAAGTCATTCTCTAAAGTAGTTTAACTTACTCCAGCCAGCAGAACATTGGGTCGATTGACATTTGTATGCCAGATGTCACTCCACAGAACCTGTTAGTCCCTGCCACGTGACAGTATCAGTATCAATTCACATTCATATTGGAGCCTTCCCTTACCTGGGGGGAACAGAAATGCCTCCTTAGTGACTCTGTTTTAAAACAGCTTCTATCATTTGTCTTTCTTGAAGTGAGAGAGGTTTGAGTCGGATACTGGTTTGCCTCCTGCAAAGAACTCCCATCAACAGAATTCCATTCAGAAAAATGTGCAAATACTAATTTAATTTTAAACAAGAATTCAAGATTCTGTTTAATTCCGACTCCTTCTCATTCTGTTTGTTCTAAATAACATCATTAGTGAAAGAATAAGTACACACATGCTTTCCCAGAACTCTTTGGTTTAAACAATTGCACAATTTTTTTTTTTTTTTTAATGAAGCATTATGGGTTCAAAGTAGAAATTACATCAAAGAGCAGGAGAGGACAGTTGTTAAGGTTGGGTCCATGTTAGTTTTAGACTTTAGTGGTTTGCAAACCTTGAAAATAGTCCCTATCTAGGAAAACAATGTGATATAGAATTTTTTTGATGTCATTTTAAAAAAGAGGTGCATAACCAAGACTCATTTGTTAGCAGGAGCATCTGTTTGCCTAACACATCCCACAGTTCATTAACAGCTTCTTCTGTTGATTGTAATCTCCCCCTTCTGCACAAGTCACACGCAGATAGATAGGGAAGAGTTGTCCTTATTGAAACCTCAAAAATGCAATGTAGTTTTACTCTTGGTTTTTAAATTTTTTCTACCAGGATTTATTTCCCTAATAACTCTCAAAAATACTAGTGCTGCCCAGATTGATAAACTTGTGTTATTTCTTAACACATGGCAAAACTAACTAGCCTTGTACTGCCTTAAAACAAATGTGCCCCCAGTGCCAGAAATGGATCTTGTGATCTTTGTTTCTAAGCTGGTAAACATTGCTAGGCAGGCAATTGTTTCTCTTTCCATTGATAAAAGGACATGTTTCTACTCTCTTATGATAACTTCTCTTGAAGGACCAAACCAGAAAGTGTTTGATGTGTAATCCACAAGAAAAAAAAAAGCTTCAGAAAAGCATTGGAAGAATAAGCCTTCTGAGAACACAAGGTCTCACCACCCTCTAAAAACAAAGCCATCCTAATGACAATGCAGAAAGGATTAGCTTTCATGAGGCTTCTCAGCCAAAACCAGCTTTAAAAACAGTAGCTCAAGAGACAGCCTCTCTGCCATGCTTGTCTGTGAGCCCTGTTCCAGAACCAGCCAGGCTCAGGTAATGGCTTTTTATTGTTTGTAAGAGAAAAGGCAGGAGAAGTCCACAGCCTCATCCAAGTTTCTGTTCTGTAAACTGAAAATAGAAATTTTCCTGTGAGCACAGTTGAAGTGTGAGGATGTCCCAATACACAATGAGTTGGAAAATATTTTTAAGGTGAAAGATCACGATAATATTTGGCCTACATTCTCCCAACTGGTATTTTAAGGCATCATTTAATATATTTTTAGACCTCCAAGTGACTTCCTCAGCTTAGTTAGTTTTTTGTGCCAAATGCCATTTTATTGAGTGTAGAAAAAGCCATCCTATCTTATACCACCTGCTTTTTGGTACTTTCCCAAATCTGAAGAATTAATAAAAGGAAATCTTGAAATGTGCTGATACTAGAATCAAACCAAAGACCCTGTCTGGGCTTCACAGCGTGGTGGTTCACAGCAGTTCACTCTGCCATCGCCAGTTTTACACCCATCAAGTGCCTGCCTCCATCAGCTATGGTAGCTCATCTGCGACACCAAGAGAGAGTGAAATGAAATCGCCCTGTTTTTTCAGAGTTAGAGCTCTTAGAGAAGTATAAGTTGGATCTTATTAAATTTAGGACATTTCCAGCAGAGTATCTTAAAATAAAGAATGAAGAATAAATAGCATTCTGATATTGTTTTCTCAAACTCCGGTGTTGCACTTCACCTTGCAATATCCAGTTTGTGTGTGTGTGTGCAAACGCGTTTGAGTATACATGTATGAGTATATAAGGTGTGTGCAGGCCAAACTAAGAAAGGAGGAGGTGCAAGACTGCTCATCTGAACATTTTGGGATCTGGAGCAATTGATTTATTTGAGGCTGATTACCTATTCCCATTCTCCTTAGGAATGCCAAATTCATTAACTTACTTGCTCTTCATATCCTTCCCTTCCCATCCCCAACACCAGTGGAGTGGTAATTGTGAATTGAGGGGCTTCATTTCCTGCCAGCCCATTCACTGCCCCACCCCCCTCCCTGGTGCAGATGGAGTGTCGGGGTGATTGCATACCTGTGTGGCTCCCACCCTTCCTTCCTTACAGCCGCCACTAGAATTGTCCCCTTCTGGGATGCCCCTTACCTTTTCCTAATCACTTGTGTGACTCAAATAGAATTATTCAGTAGCTCTTCTAAAGAAGTACCTTACACACTTGATTAAAAGCCCAAAGAGGCTTCAGTGGATTTTTTTCTCTTGCTTGAGCAGCATCTGCCAATTTCCCTGATTTTCCTGCTAATTATCTTCGTATTAGCCAGCATTCGTTTAACATGTTGTGGCTCGAAAGAGACTGAGCACTGGCTGAGGAAATAGTGAACATACAGCTAAAGGTTTATAGGACTTATTCTAATAGAGCACATGTCCATTATCTATATGCTCATTTGAATATTCTCATTTTGTGTTTTGAACAAGGGAAATCTAAACCTAAGCTACTGAGTGCTCTCCTCACTCACTGCTGCCGTGGCTCCGTGACTATAATGTCACTCTAGTGCTGTGGATTCCCCTTCCCTAGAATTACCTGGGATTAGAGTTTGACCTTTAGAGCAAGTTCATATTCTGGCTCTGCCACTTGAAAGCTGAGTGTCTTTGGGCAAGTTTGCTTAACTTTCTAAAGCCTAGTTTCCTCACCTAGAAAATGAGGATAATGTCATTGACATTGATAAAGTTATTATTATTGATAAAATTTGAGTTGTTTGGGCTGGGGTTGTGGCTCAAGTGGTAGAGTGCTCACTTAGCACATGTGAGGCACTGGGTTCGATCCTAAGCACCATATAAAAATAAATAAAGATACTGTATCCACCTAAAACTAAAAAATAAATAAATAAAAAATTTGAGGTTTTTTGTACTTTACAAATATTGGTAGACTCAAATTTTGGATGTACATTTGTTTAAACAGAGAAAATAACTGAGTTTCCAAATCTCCGTTATTCAGTGTTTAGAGAAACCAAAATCAACAGTATTTCTGGTACCAGTTTTCTTTCTCTGGGCAATACAGGTCAGATTTATTAACCATACTGATCTTAAGAATTGTGTAAGGTGAAACACATATAAACTCACATATACACAATCAGCTATTATGTGTCTACAGTGTTTATTACATTTTAGAATATGGTATTGTAAATTATAGGTAGCTAAGAACGGATCCTTTAGACTGCCTCATTTTGAGAGAAAATTGTTCAAAACACAAAATCTAAATGTTATAATTTTGCATATATCTCCCATTGTGGGATAGATAGGTTTGCCAGTGATTTGGATTAGGGGCTCAAGTTTTTTGTTTTTTGTTTTTTAATGAGACCATTATTGAACTTTTAAAAACATAGTTGCATTTCTAGTTTTTATTGTATAGAGAAATGTAGCAGAGATTGAAGGTAGAAAAAATTTTAACTTTTTGTAACAAAACATAAAAATCTAATTTGTGGGAATAGGTGAAAATTCTAGTAACTCATGAGATTAAGTTAAATTACTCAGGCCCATTAATTTCATAAAATTTTAAGTGTGGCTCTAGATAATCTAACTTCTTGACTAAGTTTGTTTCTATATTTTAAAAAAAGAACATTAAAAGTATATAATATGTGAAAGAAGTCCTATGCATCAATATATATTTTGTCCAAGTTTCTACAGATGGGGTTGGTTGTATCTGGTAATTGGATACAATTAAATATTACGTAAAGTTTCAGTAATATACCAAAAATATAAAGTACAAGAATAAAATTCCATTTTCTTTTTGTTCCAGGTTCTCTGGGAGATGCTAACAAGGGAGGTCCCCTTTAAAGGTTTGGAAGGATTACAAGTAGCTTGGCTTGTAGTGGAAAAAAACGAGGTAAGACTACGTTTCTCCATTCAGGTACATAGATCAGAAAACAGTATTGGGGTTTTGCAAAAGACTTTTTCATCTTCTTCAAATTGAAAGTAAGTTCACGCTTATGGAAAGATTAGCAGTAGGAGCTAACACAAAGGGTCAAAGTGATGTTATTCCTCATGAATGGACCCTTTACATCTAATTGTTGCAGCTTCACGTCGTGATGCTGTAGATCAAAAATTGTACAAGTACTGTACTAGTTTCTCAGTCTCAATTGTAAAACCTAGGGGTTTGTTCTTAGTGATGAAAGAAGCCATTGCGTCCAAGGTAGGGGAACAGTTTAACTCCATCTCCTGCGTTTAGGACATCTTTTTTACTGGCCGGGAGTTGATATATCTGTAAGAGACCTTCAGCTACTTCAACTTACCTCTCCCAGCAGGAGTCACTATAGTACAAGAAACTGTCGCTTAGATGAGAATTTCAAAAATAAAAGAAGAAAAAATAGTTTCAAAAAAGGGAAAAATTACAGTTTTGCCACCTACGTTGAACACTACATTGAAGATGAGCTCCTCACTGGAATTGGCGAGGCAGTGGCATAACTGTTCGCTTCTTCATGCAGAGCCTTTCCATTTCAAAAGAACTTCAGTGGCGTAAACACCGTTTGTGCTGTGTCCCCAGCCTCGCTTTTCTTCTTCCCACAAATTGAGGCTTTCAGTTAGTTGGACCTATGAGCCTACATCAGAGAACATGGCACATTCATATCAAAGAGAGCAACTACATTTTGAAAGGTTTAAAATTGTGCCTGAAACGCAGAGCCATGGAAATTCTCAGCATAAGGATGAAGCATCCAATATCAAGGTATTATAAGAACTTAGATCATGTAATGGAAGTATGCAGTTGTCTTTGCAAGGTGAAACAACTTTATTTCACAAAACTTCTTCATTTTCCAATCTTATCTGTGCCCTCCACAATGGTAAGAGTGTAGCCTTAAGATAAAATAATTTTCCAAACAGTGAATATATAAAAAGATCCCCTTTTTAATGCCTTAAAAGAATTAGCTTGATCTGCTTCCCAGGTGAATGCAGGAAAAGCTGGATTAATCAAAAAGCTGCTATTGACTAGGAGAAACCAAGTTTACTTCTTTAAGGTCACATAATCCAGAGTTACCTTATTAATTTGTCCTCCTGATTCATTGGGGATGGATGAAATGTTGATGATAGCTGAACTTGATGGGAGAGAACTGCTTGTTTAAGAAATGAAAAGGAGTTGTGTGCAAGAGTGTGCCTTCCCCATTGTTTCACAGGAGCTGCTCAGTTTTAATTAGATGTGATGGCAAGTCCCAGTGTGCAGTTAAGTAAGATCTCACACACGGACAGCCGATGTTTTTAGGATATGAGAGCCTACTTATTTCTGTTCTATTTATTTTGCCAATGATATGATTCAATGTTTGATTCAGGGCTTACAAATGAAAGTGAAGAGCATTATTGACCTTCTGTTGACTCTAGAGCAGAGCACCCGGGGTGATCTTGCCCACTACCTGCACTGAGATAAACCAAGAGAAAAGGGTATTTAAAGCTAAGTGGACCATCCAGATAAGTGTAAGACAGAATAATTAATATTTTAAAAATAAAATTTAGCTGAAGAATGGCAGAATAGGGGTAAATCTAATCTAAAGCATTTTTAAAACATTGAATATCAAAAGATGAAGAGAAGGATTGGCAATTACTCGTGCAGGACCTTCAGAGCCCCTTTAGCATTGCAGTCGAGGATGCAGCCCTCCCTCCATCCAAGGAGCACACCCTTTAGCTGTGGTCTGTTTTGATGATCAGTTTGTGGTGCATGGAGACCTCCATACTGTATGTATTAAATATAGCAGCAAGTGGAAAGAAACCACATGTGATGTGAGTTCTCTCAACTTTCTAATGAATTTAAGTAAAATTTGGTATTATAGGGATACTTATCTGCTGTTTTCATTCTGCACAGTACTTATTTGTCAAAAACATGGAAATTAAGTTTAAATGCAGTTTTCATTGTCATTCAAGAAGGTATCTTCCTCTCACCTCATAAATTGGAGGTACCTGTTTACAAAACAAATTTTGTTGACATAGCATTAAGGTAATTCCCAAAGGTTGATTTCATTTAGTAACAAAATTAAGACTTAAAGAAATATAATGTACAAAATCTTTTCAGTTTCTAATTATTTTATTTTAATGCTGAGTACCTTTGGTTATTGGGTTGAAAAAAGGTAACTGTATTTTTAACAGATCTCATTTAAATAAAGAATGATGTGTTTAAACCATCAAGGAAAAATTTTAAATGTGGTCTAGTCACCTGTAATGTCTACATCCAGTTATTAGAGTTACTTTTCTTCTTAACTTTCTATCTTGAAATAATTACAGACTCACAGGGATTTGTAAAAATATTGCAAAGAATCATCCCCATCACCCAGCTTCCCTCTGGTACCTTACATAGCTATAGGACAGTATCAGAATCGGGGAACTGAGACTGGCACATTGCTCTTACCTAGATGTGAGTCCTGATTCAGTCTCACCATTTAGGACTGCTTTTTGCATCTATAGGAAATTAGTACTTTCTAAAAATATATCTGAAGATCTTTGCTTCTAAACCCTTAATAATGAAATGTAAGACTTTAAACCATCTTTTTTTTTTTCTAATATTAAATCTTACTAAAGCTAGATGCATAAAGCCCTATTAAACTTAAAAAGTAAACGGTGAACCCTTATGGAAGGCCTGGCTTTAAGAGGGCATTACTAAGGAGTTTTTAAATATACTCATCAACAGATGAGTATATTTGCTGTTGTCATTTCCATGAAACTCCATCAGTGGGCATTCAGAATGTTCTGGCAGCATAATTACTACACTTATAAATATTTAGATTCTTATGTAAAATGTGTTTTGTTCTAAGAAGCAAAACAATTTGATTAACATAGAAATCTTCATAAAACAATTCACTATTCTTGACTGTACATTTGAAAGATAAAAATTTGACTTAAAAAGTAATTTTTATATCTTATGTAGAATATGGTGCAAAAAAAGGATGTGATCTTTTAAAAATGTCATGACTAATTGAATGATTGGGAAATATTTTCATTTTAAATGTGAATCTTTATTTAAAAACATTGTAAGCAGCACCACAAACCTGGTGCTGAGATCTAGTTAATCCAGAATGTTTTAATGTATTAGGAATGTCCACAGTTACATAATCAGGACCTACATACTTTGGATTCTATTTTAAAGTACTTTTTAATGCACCAAAATAATCCCTTACATAAAGTGTTTTGGTCTAGATTTAACTGATATTTGACCATGTCAGATTATTTTAAATGATGTGAGTTTTTGTGTACTTTGTCAGATGTTGTGTCAAAAAAGTTTTTCAGTATGAAAATATGACAGAAATCATTATCCATATCAGCCAGTTCTCATTTCAGTTCATGGAAAAATGTTGAGGTACGGTTATATTGAAAAGTATTAATTGACCCTTTCCAAAAACTCATTATTTTTAGTTATATATGGAGTACATTCAGTTGCATAAATGCAATTATAGTGTGTTTTTATTAGCCTCCATCTCTCAGCCGTCTTATATTTTAAAAAATGAACACATGATTTTTCTTGATGAAAGTCAACATTATAGTAAAATAATAGTACAGTTTAATACTCCTTTCTCTAATTTGAGATCGTTAAGACATTTAAAAGTATTTAGTTTAGCCTTTAATTTGGAGAAGTTTGTTTTGTTTTTCATTTTATTTTGTTTTGAGATTATCCATAATTCCAAATATAGACTTCTCAGCTTTCTTGCCAAGGCAACTGTTTTTCTAGTTTTACACATAACTTTCCCCAATCTAACCAAGTTCAGCTTGAAGTTTCTGTTTGTACAGTTTCTTTGGTAGACAGTACTGGGGAAAAATATTAGTACTTCATAGTGCAGCAGTTCTCAACTCTATCATACCCAGAGCTCTCTTTATAACAACTCTGTTAACAACCAACACACCTCTGAAAGGAAATTCAGAGAAACGCAACATGTACACACATTATATTTTGAGTCAGTATAATGTTGTAATATAAAGGAGAAACTGAAATACATATTGCAGTGTACAAATGCTCAGGCATGACCCCACTAGAGGAACTAATGGGACAATTTTAGGTGCTTGCACCTGTGGCTAAATAGAATTCAATAGCTACAAATGCAGTCCCACAGAGTTGGGTTATATTAATGACTCTGGTACCAAGAGCAGCACTGCTCTTGGTGACAGTCTTCAAACTCTTGATAAAGTTATGAATAATGCAAAAATCAATCTGCCTTTGATTTGTTTTATTTGGTAAATATGTTGTAAATCAGAGTTGGATTCTAGGCACAGAAAATTAGAAATCTCATTGTTTACTTGTTTGTTTGCATGAATGCACATAGAGCATTTGAAATTTGTGGGTTGCAAGAGAGTCCTTGATCATGTTGGACTTAATGGCATATTGGAGGAGGTCTAACACTTATTTATTTATTTATTTACTTATTTATTTATAGTACCAGGGATTGAACTCAGGGGCACTCCACCACTGAGCCACATTCCTAGCACTATTTTGTATTTTATTTAGAGACAGGGTCTCACTGAGTTGCTTAGCACCTCGTTTTTGCTGAGGCTGGCTTTGAACTCGAGATCATCCTGCCTCAGCCTCCCAAGCCACTAGGATTACAGGTGTGCTGCTGGGGATCAAACCTAGAATCTTGCATATACTACAAGGTGCTCTGCCACTGAGCTACAGCCCCATCCTCTGCAGTCTTTAAAACAAACAAACAAAAAAAATACCTTCTCAGTATAATGGTCTGGCATGTTCTATGACAACCACTACTGTAGAATGCTAGAATAGAATTGATGTTTGCATGATAAGTTGTGTTGTATCGGGTCCTTACAGTAGATGGGTGTGACCAAAGCAAAGCTATGAGTCATACATTCATAATGTTTTACTTTCCAATGAGAAAATGCAGAGTTTTAAAAAATTATCTCTATAATTTTCTGTGCCAAAGATGTTTTCAGAGTTGTAAACCTCTTGCCAAAACTAAACTGGTTTCCTAGTTACCTGGCCTGTTTGCATTATTTCTTAAGTTGCTAATAAAAATACAGACTAAATCTATGGTTTTAGATTTAGTATCTAAGTTCCAACCTGCCCCTCTCCTACTATAGTTTCTTATAGTCTTGATCCTGTTTTATTGCATTTGTGCTGATGAACCTGACTTCTCCATCCACTACAATTCATCTGTGAAGGAAAAAGTGGGAGTCTTTGGAGATTAGATGATACAAATCTGAATGTAAATTCTCCCCTGTCATATATTAATCCATGGAGACTTCAGATTTCATATCTTGTTTATGCTATCAAATTAGCTCTTTTAGGGCTCCCTTTCAAATAGTCTTTGCTTACTGTAATGAGTAAATCCTATGATTTGTTTTGTTTTGTTTCCTTCTCTCTGTTGTAGAGACTAACCATTCCAAGCAGTTGCCCCAGAAGTTTTGCTGAACTGTTACACCAGTGTTGGGAAGCTGATGCCAAGGTATATTTTTTGGTTGTTCAGTATTCTGAATTTTCACTTGTTTGTTTGGTTTTGAGTTTTTAAAATTTGAGTAATAAAATCCATTACAAAGCAAAGTTGGATTGGTGTTCCCGTGAGCCTCAGCCTGACTGCTAAGGCCCTGTGTTGGCATCTGCTTATCTTGATCTCTAGAGACTCATTATTGACTCTTTTTAAAAGTACTCTTTGGTATTCTTTATTCAGTAAAAATAATTTTGTTCTTTTGTTTTTAACCTTTAATAACCATTGGACCTCTATGTTATAAAAATGGCTAACACATCACAGTACATTTTATATGCCATTGGTTCTAAGCACTTTGTGTATATTAACTCACTTATTTCTTAGAATGTATCTTTGAAATGGGTATTGTCATTACCCTCATCTTAAACATGAAGAACCAAAGCAAACAGAGGTTAAATAATGAGTCAAGGCCACACTGCTAGTATTGAGCTGATATGGTAGGAGCTGATCATGAACCCCAGAAGTCTGGCATGAGGCCCTGCTGTGTTGCCTGCCTAACCAGAGAACAGGCACAAATAGCACTTCCAGAGACTGTTGTTATGTTCTCCCTGTCCAGTTTCAGGGATGTTTTTGAGTTATCACAACAGAGTTGGAGAAATTGCAAAACTTGGCCTTTCTTGTGGTTATCGCATTAGAGCATGAATAGCCTGTTTCCTTTTCCTGCAAAGATCATTTAAGAGATTCTCACATACATATGGAAATATTTACAGATAAAGTGGTAGGCCAGTATTGGATTTACTTCAAAATGAGGTGAAGGCTAATGGATGCCAATATAGATTAAACCAGATTGCCCTAATAATTTCCAAAGCTCAGTGATAGGACATGGAGGTTCATTACATTGTTTTCTCTACTTTTGTGTATGTTTGGAATTTTTCATAAGAAAGTTAAAAAATAAGACTCTCACCAATTAAACATTGGAATAAGAGAGCAGTTAAACTCAAGGAAGGAACAGAAATCTTCAGGTTCACATTGGTGCCATTTTTCATAGAAATAGGGTTATTTCTGACTTTTGAAATAGAGGCCTAAAAAGAAAGACTAAAAAGTGAATTCTTTCCTAATTTAAACCCAGTTCTGTTCTGACATCCAGGAAGCATGAGTGATCACAACACATAGTCTGTTCTTCTACAACATACATCTTTAGTTGTGAGTAGCTCAGAAACTATTGGTGTGTATCAGACTGTTAGTGTGACACAGAATTTATGTTGATTCATGCAGAATGTTTTCCAGCACATTGTTCCACACTGAGAGCGAAGTACAATAATGCAGCCTGTGAGGCAGCCTGGTGCTGTGGGGCGCTTTCACTCCATATGGTCCTGCTTGGCCTGGTGTGGAAGTCTTGTTGCTGGTTCTCCCCAGCCACGAGCATTTGCCTTTGCCCTGGTGTCCAGCAGCTTCAATCTTTGCTGTCAGTCCTATTCTTCAAATTTATTTTGCCTATATTTTTTTCCAAATTGAGTCCTATATTTACTCAGTATTATTTTATTAAAGATTTTAACATGTTTTTAAGCTGTATTAGTATTTTTATTTGGAACAATTATTTTATTAGTACTCAATGACAAAATTGCATGGGTTTTCAATGGTCTTCCCTACCCCTGTTTAGGTCCTATTATTTTTGTGCATGATTTTACAAAATGTGGGTATTTTTAAACATTAAGAGAAAAGCCTACGCTTTGCAACTAATCCAGAAGATATTTGTAAGCTTGCTTAAAACATGGTATATTACCCTTACCCTACTCCTTCTATTAACCATTGTAATATATACAGTGATTTTGGTAGTATTTTTTCTACTACTTCAACAGAAATTTTGCCTGAAATTATTTGTATTAACTTAGATTAATGCATATACATCTGTATAATTGTAATTATATTTCAGTATGCAAAGCAAGTTTGTAATTTCTTAATTGAAAACTTGGCACTATATTAATCAAAATTCTAAGAACATATATTTATTGCTCATTAATTAAATCATAGTATAAAAACTTCATACAACAAGGACATTAGGCCCAACATTGAAGCCATGAAGTTGACATGACTTTAACATGAAGTTAGTTGACCCTTCTTTGGGAACTAAAGAATTTAGAAGAATTTAGTGTTTAGCCATGTGAAGTATAAAGAGAGTTTAAGATTGATTTTTTATTTTCTCAATTCATGACATCTCTTTTTTTTTTCTTTTTCTTTCTTTTCTTTTTTCTTTTTTTTTTTTTTTTTTTTTTTGAGAAAAAGGAAAAAGAGGTTTATTGCTTTGCTAGCAAAGGAGAAACACAAGGGACTCTGTCCCAAAGGCTGTGATTCTTCCCTTCAGCAGGAACAGGGGGCTTTTAAAGAGGTGATTCAAAGGCTACATTCCACAGGTTCTCTGTTGGAGTTGTAACTCACTTCTTAATTTGGGAGACAGTAATTTCTGAGATCTTCTGGTACCCCAAAGTCTGGATTACTTCCTTTCATGACATTCTGATCCAACTATTCCATGCCCACTATGAGGGGTTTGATTGCATAGAGGTTGCAGCCCACATTGCCACCCAATCATTGTTCATCTCCTCCAGATCACCTTGTGTACCTTCATTTCCTGAGCATGCTCTCTTCCTTCTGTCTCTCTCCCTGATACTTCACTATGGAGCCTTCCCTGACTACTCTGTTGTCTCCAGCCCAGGCTTAGTCTAGCCTCCTGTTCCAAACCACAGTCTGGACCACTGCCCTACTTGAACTGTGCTATTTTTTAAAATATCTTTTTCCTTCCTAAATGCATTGCAAGCTCTATGAGGGAATAGAACACTAATTCTTCTGTATTTCCTAAGAGCACTTTACATCAATTTAGTACATAGATGTCCAATTTGTTGTTGCCTGAAGAAGCTGGACCACAGTAGATTTTCTGGAAGGTAGATTTTAGTTCTCTGGCTAGAAATATGTAGCAGTTCAACCAGGAGTTGGTGCCAGTCCTGTGCATATATGGAGAGCCATAATTGGTATTTTCTTTTTTTCTAGTCCTAGATTTTTAGAGTATCAACACCTAGGTTGAAATATTCACCCCACCTCTAGGACTGATGTTCTTTTGTAATGAGGAGAGATGTATATAAAAGAAAGCTTGTATTAAGTAAATGTTGGGTCACTCTAATGGTTCATGACAGGTGCTTAAAATATTTTATAGAAGAAAGAATTAATGAATATCAATTTAAGTCTTAAAAGAACATTTTTAAATAAGGAAAAAGAATAGCTAAAGCCATAAGTTTAGTAAGAATACCTCGTCCTTCTGTAATAAAAGGTGTGAAGGGGTTAAGAGCATGACTCCAGGTTGTGTACATTGCCTCCTGTGTGATGCTGGGCAGTTCAGACTTTTCTGAGACTAGTTCTCCTTATCTATAAAATGGAGATAACAAACACAGAAAAAATAAATGTAGATGTTTAATAAATATTCCTAGATGTGGTATTGTAAAGTAAACCAAATCTGCATAATACCTAAAAGGCACTTAAGCCCCCTCAAAGGAATGTCCATGAGAACCTATATCAAATGTTTTATTGTGTAAACAGAACATTCAAAGATATTACCATAAAATTCTATACTGTTGTTGCATTTTTCTTTCTTCTTCTTCATTTTATTTATTTTTTTCTTTTTTGAGACAGGGTCTCACTGTGTTACCCAGGGTAGTCTCCAGTGATCCTCCTGCCTCAGCCTCATCAGTAGCTGGGACTGCAGGCACATGCCACCACACCTGGCTGTGCTACATTTTGAATGTTCGCATTAATCATTTCTGTCTGAGAGTAAATGCTAGCTATAGAATTAAGATTTTTCTAGGAATGCTTGTCATCCAACTACAAAAGAGCATCACCTTAGAATAATTAAATATAGGGAGACATGTTTTTCTTTAAAAATCCATTAGCTTCTCCTCCTTCTTTTCCTTCTAAAATGAAAATCCTGTATTTATTATATAATTAATTCCTGTGCAAATGAAACATTTTTTTTTCTTTTAAAACATGACACATGGTAGGAGAAATTAGAGTAGGAACAAAGGTAAAGAAGACAAACAATATTTCTCAAGTTTCCTACTTAAGGCATTTTCTTCTTTATTAGAAGGCTTAATGTACACCAGTAACATTTAGCTACTACACTCTCTTAAAACATAACTCACACATGTGCCTTTAAAAGAGAACAATATCAGTGGAACTCAATAAATATTCCAGTTTTATATTTCTGAGAAATGAAAAAACAAAAAAAACTTTTCTTCATAATGTAGGAAGCATTCAAGTCCCAAGAGCAAGCCACCTCAACATTGTTCCTTCTTGTTTTTATGCTCCTAAATTAAAATGCATGTTTTAATTGCTGCAACTGTAATTTGTTCAGAAATGGTATAATTATGAAGCCTGATGAAGAGAGAATATGCATCATCCTTTTATTATCTTTCTCCATTTTTGTTTTAACCTTTTGTTTCAACCTTGGCTAGAGTCTAAAGAGAAAGACTAGTGTAGTTACTGCTCATTGAAGAAGTACACTTAACCACTGCCTTTTCAGTTTCTGCTGAACAGGATCTTCCATTGTCCCAGCACTAAAGCTGGTTCTAATGTGAAATATACATTGAGAGCAATGACATCAAGATAGCTTTAAAATTGGGGTTTCTTCCCAACCAACTGATTTGGGAAATTTTATTAGTTCAGATGGATTGATTGGTAGATTTTTCCCCATCATTTTACATAAAATCTTTCAAACATATGAAAAAGTCAAAAGGATTTCACAGTGACTAGCATGCCCATGATGCTAGTAATGTTTTACTAGCTTTATCACATAAATATTTACATGACTTAACTTTTTCCTTTTAGGGACCTTAATCATTTCAGAGAGAATTAGCACTCTTTTTGCCTAGAGAAAAACTACTAATTACCCCAGTTTTAGGCCATATGATATAAAAATAACGTCTAAATCTATTTCTTATAAATAGTTGATTGGGCCAGGCATGGTGGTGCACACCTGTGATCCCAGTGACTCGGGGAGGCTGGAGGCAGGAGGATTTCCAGTTCAAAGCCAGCTTCAGCCACTTAGTGAGGCCCTCAGCAATTGAGCAAGAGCACAATGAAAAGGGCTGGGTATGTGGCTCAGTGGTTGAGCACGACTGGGTTCAATCCTTGGTACCAAAAACAAAAATTGTTAGTTGAAAATAGAGAACACAGTTCCCTAAACCAGAGCAATGTGATGGTTGTAAAATAAACCAGAACACTGCATCATTTCTTTTAGTTACAGTAGGTTGAGCTTATTACTACATTTTTCTCTTGAAGATCTCCCTTCTTAAGTGTCCACAATTGATTGCTTTTCTTCTCTTCTTCAGAAACGGCCATCCTTCAAGCAAATCATTTCTATTTTGGAGTCCATGTCCAATGACACCAGCCTTCCTGACCAGTGTAATTCGTTCCTGCACCACAAGGCAGAATGGAGGTGGGTGACCCTGGTGCCCAGTCCCAGCCCTGGCTTCAAAGGTCCATCACTAACCTCAGTAGGGAAAAGGACCAGAGACGCTGACCACAGTCTGATTGCTAAGCATAGCATAGAAACAACACACAAAAAAAGTCATAAGATTTTGGAGATCTGATTAGTCTTCCATTTCATAAGTAAGCAAGAAAGCGTATTTCTCTAAGCTTGTTGCTTTAGTATGTTACCCAGTATTTGGAAAGAATATTGAAATCATATCTTCTGAGACAAAAGATGGTTACCAGACATTTCTGTATATACACTGTTAGGAAGCTTTGGCCTCTAACCAGTAAGAAATAAAAATACCATTAGCCTTGAAGTTTGAAGTTCTCTCTGTGTGCTAGTTAGAGGTTAGAAAGACTATACAAACACTTCTAAAAGAAAACTCTAGATGTTATAAATCCTATTAAAATTTCTTAAGTGTAAAACAAACTTAGTAATGAGAAAATCGTATTATATGAGTGGAAAAAGTAAGCCAGGGTGAAACATTTGCGACAGGTCACATGATGCAGGAATATAAATAGCGTGTTTGGGAGCTGACACTACTCCTCCCCTGACGCTACAGAGATTTTAAGTAACTTCATCTCTGCTCCTGACAGCCCTGGCAGTAAGTGACACCTTACGCCATCTGCTGATGCCAAGTGAATACTGCACATACTGTGAAAATCTGAGTTGTTTACTGCTGTTGTTAGACATTTCTTGGGGAATTCTGTTGGTGTTTTACAGTGCTCTTATTTATTTATTCTTTTGAAATAGCTGTGTAGGGCCAGTGAATTTAATGAATTTTTATTTAGGAATACAAATATAATACAGTAAAAAGTCTAGGTATGGAGGCTAGAGTTGTAGCTCATAGGTAAAATAAAGACATTGTGTCCATCTGTGACCAGAAAAAATTTTTTTAAAATGTATGGTTATGAGGGACTTTTTTTAATGTTGAAATAATTAACAAAACAGAACAAGAAAGTAATGTTTCCTATATTAAGAGGTGAGTGCACACCTAATCAATTCACTCCCCTGAAATCCATACATGTTCCCATTGCTCCTAAGAGAAATACTTCAGAGTCAGGAAATACTTCAGAGTCAGGAAACCCCCTACTCTGATTTCACTAGTCTCATCTTAACAGCACCAGTCTGCCCCTTAGTTTCTGGCCTGCAGTCCCACAACAGAGGAACATTTCTGCTTTACTCAGAGTCTCTGCAAGCTCAGTTTCCTAGTTTAAAGCCATCCCATCTCAGTTACACTACACCTGACCCCATCCCCCACCCCAGCTCCTACTGGCTTCAGTGGCCACTGGACCAGGAAGTGTACCCTGAGCCAGGAAGGTACCCTGACTCTAGGTCAGACCATTCCCACCTGCATGCTCTGCAGTTTATTGTTTAATGTCTCAGTGGCTGAAACATTGGAGGGGTAGGCATTACATTATCTTTGTTTATCACTCATTGTCCCCACAGCATCTAGCATGTGCCTTGAACATAGTAGTTACTCAATAAATACATAGGGAAGGAATAAAATACCATAACGATGATAACATAAAAGACATTATGCTCTTGCACAAGAGAATATAAATATGTAAGTTAATTTTCCCTACAGAAGTCTTTCTTACATTCACTCGTTGGTGTGTTCCTTGAACCTCTGCATTTGGAGACATGGGTGGTGCCATTCTCAGTATTGGGCTATAGTAATGAGCATGACCATCCCAAAGCTCATGGTGCACTCCAGCAGGAGAGGCCAATGTTAAACTGCTAAATATAAGTGTACAAATAACTATTTAATTACTGTTTTGACAAGCATTATGACAGAAGTACTGGATATCTGAGAGCATTAACCATGAAATCCAATCTAGTCTGGGGATATAATAAAAGAATTCCCCAAGGAAATGCTATTTGATCTGTTACCCAAAGGATTAATAAGATTTTAATACTAGTATCAATACCTTTGAGATAGGGAGTCTCTAAAAGTATGCCAACAAAATCAGAAAACAAATTGATGTTTGTAAATTTAAAACCTTTAAAAATAAAAATTCAAAACATGTATATGGCCAAAAGCAATGTCCATCATAAATAAATTTCCAAGTACTTCTCAAACATTTTGGTCTCAGGATCCTATTACACTCTTAAAAATTATTGAGGACTTCAAAAAAATTTGTCTAAGTCATATCTGACAATATTTACCACATTCAAAAATAGAACTGAGAAAAATTTAAAATATGTGTTTATTGATCTGTTTCAAAAACAATAATAAATCCTGCTTCTCAATTCAGCCTATGGCCCTATCACATAATGCCCCTGGAATACTCTGTACATTTATAAAAGAATTAGAGTAGAAAAGGCAAATCTGTCTTAGAGGTATTCTGGAAACCAGTCTGACCTCAAGAATCCTCTGAAAAGTTCTCTTAGGTTCCCATACCATACACTGAAAAACATTTTGATAGAGAATTACTATCTTTAAAAGAACAATTTAATTAAAATATACTAAAGGACATGAAAGAGCATTTCACAAAACGAGAAATCAAATAGTTAATAAACATATGAAAAATATTCAACCTCCTTTAATCATCAAGTAAATACAGGTAACCATAATTTATTAGATTGGCAAAAATTCACATTATGAAAATGCTTAGTGTTATAGGCCTTCTCATACATTGCTAACAGGGGAAACACTAACTGCCGGGACAGTTACATTCCTATAAAATGTTTTTATTCTATGTCCCAGAAGTCCTACGTCTACCATTTTATTCCTAAGAAATAAACAGGAATGGTATGCAAGAAATGTATAGGCACTTGTTCAGGCAGCCTAATTTAGATTTGCACAACTAGAAGTGGTGTTAAGTACAAAAATATGGAAATAGTTTTTTAAAATGATAATATTGCTATATACTAAATAAAACAGAACCATTATACACACACACACACACACACACACACACGACAAATGATTTTAAAATAGAGGCTATAGTCCAGTTTGTTTAGAATGATTCCATTTTTTTATAAAATAAAGGTGCATTAATAGTATGTATATAAATACAAAGAAAAAGTACCAAAAAGACATTTTTGCAGGGCATGGTGGTTTATACCTGTAAACCCAGCTACTTGAGACACTGAGGCAAGGATCCCAATTTCCAGGCCAGCCTCAGGAACTTAGTGAGACCCATCCTGAAAATAAAAAATCCAAAGTATTGGGGCTGTAGCTCAGTGGTAGAGTGCCCCTGAGTTCAAATTCCCACTACCAAAAACAAAAACAGAGTGTTGGGACTGGGGTTGTGACTCAGTAGGGGAGTGCTCAATTCCCACTACCAAAAAAACAAAAACAAAACACAGTGTTGGGACTGGGGTTGTGACTCAATGGTAGAGTGCTTGCCTAGCATGTGTAAGGCACTGGGTTCAATCCTCAGCATCACATAAAAATAATATGTAAAATGAAGGTATTGTGTCCGTCTACAACTAAAAATTTTTTTTTTTAAATCCACAGTGTAATCACTGGGTAGTGAGATTATTGAAGAGTGCTGTCTTTTTGTATATCTGTATTTTTTTACTTGTTTTACATTAAGCCTGGATTAGTTGAATGATTAATTTTTTAAAGTCTTCAGGCCAGGTGTGGTCGTACATGCCTGTAATCCTAACTGTTCAGGAGGCTGAAGTAAGAGGATCACAAGTTGGACCCATCCTAGGCAACATAGGGAGACCCTGTCTCAAACAAAGAATACTTCAAGGTGAAAAATGAGCAAAATAAATTTGATGATAGAGGATGGAGGAAAATACATCAGTATGTTTTTGGAAAATACAGTTGGCCAGGGGGCATCCTTAGTGGCTCTTTCAGGAACTATTGACCCTGCTCTTAGGGCTGGAGAGAAAATGTGTATTTTTTCCTGAACCAGCAAACCATAGATTGAGAATCCTAGAGCTGTTTTAACTGAACTTGGTAATTGGTTAAAGACATGGGGAATAATATCAATTATAATAATAAACACAGTTACTGTTCATGAGGTTCCTACCAGATGCCTGTACTTCATTTGGATTATCTATTTAAATCCCCATGGCAACCCTAATTGTATCACAGATACAAAAACTGAAGCCCAGGCAGGTTGGGTAACTTGCCGAGATCGTACTATACTGAGATGAAGCCTGTAATGGGACCCAGGGGGTCTGGTACACAGGCCACTCCGGCATGTATGCTGCACTGTGCTTTTGCTGGACTGTGGCCACTGGTTATGCCAACTCCCCATTAACATGCAGGATTCATTTAACTGGATCCTGTTTAGCTACGAGTCATATTACAGGGCATGATTGTTTTAGGTTATCATTACAGCAAAAAGACTGTCTTACTCAATCTGCCAAGTGCTGAAAAGAATGATGTTTTTATCAAATCATCTGGGTATTTCAAAGGACAACATATTCAGACTACTTCTTGCTTTTCCCCAACTTTTGTGTGGTGCCTAAAGCCATGGGACTGGGGTCCAAAGACTATTTTAGCGAATGAGAGTCACAGTGCAGTCTGCTTCCAATCCTGCTGTGGTGTGTCTGGCAGATGATTGTTTTCTGGTAGAGCTTTCTCTACACATAGACCAGATGGAACATCTATTTTTGGAAAATTAAATGATTCTAAAATTCTTTTTTAAAGCTAGATTATTAAAATCCACATAAACTGTGTTCTTCTTGTTGGTCTAATAAATAAGAAAGAAATCTAGTATCAGCCATTTCCCTGTTCATCAAATCCTCATCTTGATTCTCCTCCTGTTAACATAAGAGCAATAATGGCAGTGAGCATCAAGAACAGAAAGTGTACCCTGTTTGTCCTGTTTGCAGTTTTTATTAATCCCTGTGATTGTCTACAAACGATGGCATTCTGCATCAAGTGAGTTACATATGGTTATGAGCATTCAGACCCATGTCTCTGAAAAACACTGTTTGTTGTGTTTTTCCTTGGTGACCAAAGTCCTCTCAGCGTGACATGCCTTCTTGACAACAAAAAGCTGAGATCAGAAAATGTAATCGTTCCAACTTAGATTTTAAGCACAAACATATGATACATAACACTAATGTATATTTATCATGTAATATATATGTGTGTGTGTGTGTGTGTGTGTGTGTGTGTGTATATATATATATATATATATATATATAATTTTAGCAAATAGATCTTTTATTTCAAAGTAAGTGTCTATTTAATGAAAGAAGTTAATTACAGTTCATTGCCTGTTCATAGAAATACTACTTGAAATCAAACTTGGTTGGGTTTAGTTTAAGAGAAAACATAAAATTTTCACCAACCAAGACACTTAAACTATAATTTTAGAACAGGAAGTTTATATAAATGCACCAACAAATGCACTTGATACAGAACAACACACCAACAAAAAGGGAACATCTAGGGGATCAGTGTCTGTCCTTGGGCTTGAGTTTCTTGTGGTACCTAACCTCAGAGCCTTGGGCACAGGAGCCAGAACACAGCTGGGAACCTGGGCCTGAGGAGCAGATGGAGGAAGATCTGTTCAGTCAGTGTTTGTTTGTGTGTCACAATTTTCAGCTTACTTAACTTTTGATCTCTTTTCCAGAAGGGCTCAAAAAATCGCAGTGGGCTCCCAGAGCTGGAACTTGAGATGAGCTCTTGGGTTCAATTACAAGTGAAACAGAATGTGTTGGCCATTTACCCTGACTGAAAAGAACATCAGTGAGATCAGTCTCACTGGCAGGAGAGTTGGGACTGGTTGAAAAAAGGGCTGTACAGACCAATGGCCCACACCACTGCCATCTCACCTCTGAGCATGCCCAGCTGTGAGGCCTCTTTGCCACCCTCTGACTGAAGATAGCTTGCTTTTTTCTTTCTTTTTTTTTTCTTTTTGGATTACAAAGTTTATCCTAACATTTTCCATATTGATTTTTCCCCTCAATCCCTCATTTGAAAAATAAAAGCACGTTGTCTGTGAATGGGCATAATATCCTTGTCAGAAATATCAGTGGTTTAATTTGGATTTTATAATAGTCTTGATTCTGAAATATTGCTGCTTCCGGGCCTTATTAGAAACTGTGACGCGATTCTCTTTATGCCTTTTCACATGGCATGAATGAAAGGGATGGAGTGTTGATATTTGTGGGTGGCATTTACTTGCTGCCTCCCTAGCTAAAGAACTTTTCAGTCAAGCAGAGAAGCAAAGCCTTGGGCCCACATCCAGACCCACCTCAATAACTGTTCCCTGAGTTGGACTTTGCCAGTGAATACCTAGAAACCACTTGTTTTCCTTCATTAAGTTCTTATCTGTAAGAGTATTAGAATAAGCCTCTCACATCCTCTGATTTTCCCTGGTAATAAAAAGGCAGATTTTGGTTGCACATATTCATTAACTTTGACCAGGGGCTCTCCCTTTCACACCTCCCCATCTCCCTGAGGATGCAGTCTAAGGCACAGGGGCATAACTGTTGGCAGCACTCAGGAGCCAATAGACATGGCACCGATTTCCCACTTGCCACCTCTTCCTCCTTTTTGTCTTCCTCTCTGTGGGCCTTCCTTCCTGGCCTCCCCTTCCCTCTCCCCTTCTCCCAGTCCCGTCTCATCCCCTCATTACTGTGGCTTACTTACCAGCGCTTCAGAAACTCAAGGAAAGAACTTCCAGTTCTCCAAGCATAAATTTAGACATCATGACAGCCCTGCAGGAGAAAAAAGTTTGTGCCAAGCCATGTTAGCAATTTCCCTTGCTGTGAAGAACAGGTTTCTATTACTGGGCACATTGTTCCAAGTGTGAGGTTGGTGGGCCCAGAGAGATGAAGCAGAAATCTTCCTTTAAACATTATTAAGAAAGAGATCTTCAGAGCTCCTCTGGCCCACAGTGTCCTATACTTACCTGATTGTAAAGACTTTCCTGAGTTTTTATCAAATAATGCAAGTCCTTCCCAGCCCCCTGTCTAATGAATCATGAGCTCCAAGGAAAGGGAATCTGTGCTTTTGTTGTTTTGTTGTTTTCAACAAGCTGCCCAGGTAATTCTTAGGATCAGGCAAGTTATAGAGTCTTGATATGCTATAACCACCACCCCTCCAACCAAGGAAGCTGAGTCAGATTAATCTGTTGATTGCTAGGGTTGCTCAGCCACAGGTAGGCTAAAGTGCCATCTCAATCACTTGCCAACAGTATGATACTGATAGCCTAACCTGAGTGTCATTTTCCCATCCATAATACAAATTAGTAACTGTTTGTTGGGCTGTTCTGGGAATAAGATGAGATATGTAATGTACTTTATAAACTCTATAAACAGCTCTCTGACTATAGGCACTCACTAACGACTAGCCTAGACACCAGCTCCAGGTTATGCTGCATCCCACGACTCTTTGATGCTTTGTTGCAATACTTTGAGCATGTTTTTCCAAACCAGAAGCTACCTGTTGATTTTTAAGGGTATAGAAGATGCCTGCTTCCCTGGGTATGTCCTGGTCAACTTCAAAACACACACATTAGTCTTTTACTCTGATGAGCATTCTGATGGACACTGTAGTAGAGTTGAGACTTACCAGTTGTCCTTGTGCAGGTGTGAAATTGAAGCAACCCTTGAGAGACTAAAGAAACTAGAGCGTGATCTCAGCTTTAAAGAGCAGGAGCTCAAGGAACGGGAAAGACGGTTAAAGATGTGGGAGCAAAAACTGACAGAGCAGTCTAACACCCCGGTGAGTACTCGCAGCCGGCTTCCCACGTGCAGCATTAGAATGTGGCTGAGCATGGCAGCTCTTCTCCTGTCCTGCCTCCTCCTCACTTCCTGCCTTACGCCTGTGTGCTAAAGGCCTTCATTTGTAGCAACTAGTATAAATGATCAAAATGCCAGAAATTTAAAAGAAAAGTCCTGTCCTATTTCTGGCTTTTTCCTTAAGAAATGTTATTCTCTCCATGTGCTTGTATATTAGACTTACAAAAATAAAATCTGATGTATTTTCACACCATCTGTTAGGTCCCCAGAACATGTGCCTAAATGCTGATTAACTCTTTATTAACTTCATCAGTAATTAATAACTAACTCCAAGGTAGCTAAGAAAGTCTTTGTGCCACAATTCAACCACATTTTTCTTCTAAAATAGAACTAGCCTGATGGTGTTAATATTCCTTGCTCAATTTAGTGTTATGACCATGGCAGCAAAATATTAGAAAAGCTTAGGATATGCTTCTAGTATATTCTATATCCAGGAAGAATCTTGATTTTTCCCAAGTATTATATTTAGAGAAAAAAAATTCTTTTTAAGGATTTTACTATGTACACACTAACCTTGAGCTTCCATTCTAACATAATATGTTAAAGTCTAAGCAGATTTCAGCATTCTTTTCTGTTTTAAATGACTTGTTTCTAGCAACTAAGTACAAATTTATCTGTTTTTCCAGGACTTTTAATGGGAAATATTTTCCCACTCAAAATCACAATGATAGAGTAAAAGTAAACTTATATTTTTATATTTTGATAGTTGCTATGACAATTATACCAAATAACTTAAATTCCCTTCTTTTTAAATTTATATATTCATTCTAATTTGTTGTACATGACAGCAGAATGAATGCATTTCAGTTCATAGTACAAATATAAAGCACAATTTTTCTAAATGCTCTTCATTAAGCAGTCAGTGCGCAATTGCAAATATTTCCCAATGTCTAAAGAGTAAAAATAGTTTGTCTTCTTTTCCAACTTGTATAGAAAAGCGACCTGATATCCAAAAATGAAAACGCAATGAAATTAAATGTCCATTATCAAATTTAACTTTTTTAAAAAAAGATTTTTGTAATCCAGTGGACCCCAAAATAAGAGTTTAATAGCTACACATAAGACTATCTTGGGACATTACAAAGGTACATTTTCTAAATTTCTAGATTTCACTTGGTTTTCAAGTAAGGACTAGAGGGAAGTTCCCTGATGAGGTTGAATTGATGCTGGCAGGCAGACTAGAAAGCACTACCCCAGGGATCTGCACAGGAGCCCTACTTTTCTAGGCCGATGAGGGACAGGAGCAGGAATGGGCCCTTGTCCCTGCAAGCACGTCCTCTGAAGCCTGAGAGGATTTTTTTGTTTTATTTTTCAAATGCATTGAAATCTTAAAGCACTGCATGGCTTGACTCTTTCTAAATGTAGTATTTTAAGAAAAAAAAAAAACTTTAAACCACCTATTAGAGTATGCTTTAGAACCTTTCTTTGAATTATTGGCATCAGTTTTGCTAAGAAATTATGGGCTGCCTTGCACACATTATTGCTATTAGTAACATAGTTGTGTAATAAATAATAAAACGCTATGAGTGCTCAGTAGGATGTATGCTTGCATTTTAACTCCAGAAAACTTTCTGTAAAGGAACTGCTCTGAGGGCCACCATCTAACAATGGACAGCATGAAGCACAATCTCAGTGAGATTTCCTTTGCTTTTCTTACTTATGAGGTCTAAGTTTTCTTTCTTTATAGTACCTGCTTTTAATGTCTCCTCTGCTTAGAGCTGGTATTTCTGAAGGAAAGAAAGTTTATGCTCAGATATTTTATAAGTAGCTGTTTTCTTTTATCCTCATTTCAGTTTCTAGTTGGCTTTAAATGAGATTACTGAAAGATAAAATAAATCTTTGAAAAAGGAAGTGGCTGGAAGCTGAGGTTTTCTGTATGTAGCCTCGTCTTAATTATAAAACTTTAACGTTTATGTAACTTCATAAAAACCATTTATTGAACTGATTTCAGGGACACTGTTTTCTAAAATTAAAAGTTAAAGATACTTGAGAAGATGAGTTCTCTATGCATAAATAAGGATGATGTTTCTTTTTTAACTACTGTAGCTTGCTTTAAAATTTTAGGAATAAAATCTTATTTGAGGGACATTTGCAGAAATCTTTGGTGTCTAACATAACATGAGGAAAGACCTCTGAAATAATAAAATAAGCAACCAAAAGTTCCTGAGAGGATCTAATAATTAAAAATAAATTTGAGAATCCAAGAAGGGTGCCAACAAGGGAAATCACATCCTGTTTCCAATATTTAAGGATCAAAAGCAACTTTTTTCTTCCATATACCTGGTGCTTTTTAGCTGAATTATATGAAATTATTTCTGAACTAACACTTCTAGGAGTCTTCCTAATAGAATGAGCTGTTTAAAAAAAGAAACAACAACTACTCAGATCCAACTTCAGTTTAAAAACTAAGAAACTGGTACTAAGTATTGGGTAACTTTATACCCAGAAAGTCAGGGTCCTCCAAGAGTTAGGTGATTTGTAGATCATAAACTTATTCATATTAAACCACATCAGAAATACAAGCCTTCATTTGCTTATTTCTTAAGAGGAGGCTGGAACATTTTACATATCCTAACTCTGGTATGAATATGACCGAACATTTATGGGAATAGGTTGGCTGTCCAAAATAATTATGTAAGATTTTTTAAAAACATTTTTTTAACCTGTGCAAAAGAGAATTATTAGGGGGGGGAAAAGTTCTATTAAAAGGATGAAACTTGAATATTTGAGGATGAAGAAAACAGTAATCTAAATGAATATTCCCTCCCCCCATTTTCACATATATTTACATACTTGTGTAGAACTGAAAAGTTAGACACATTCTAGAATTTATTCACAAATAAATTATTGAATAATTTGGACAAATAGTACTACATAACATCTGGCTGAAGTAAATAATACAAGGAAGCACATGGATTCTAGGCTCATTTTTAGTGCATAGTCAGAATACTAAATCAATTTAAAAGGTAATTAACTACTCAAATTCTCCTTGAACCACATTGAGAACAGAACTGATTTTATACTTCCTCTGAGCTTTTCTTCCTTGGTACAGAGTTTCTTAATTTTTCACTTGAGATTTTGTGTCTGCTTAACTTCTTCTTCTTCTTCTTTTTTTTTTTGATATGATGGTTTACTAAATGTTTCTATGTGGAAGTAAAATTGGGAAAAATTAAGAGAAATTTCAAAAACTATTTTGTTTTAAGCAAAATGAAGGCTGAGGACTTGCCTCTTCCTGTCCATTTGAAATTTTGTTTCCTGTGGTGCTTTGCAAACTTTTGTTTATGATTTACTCTGTCATTCATAAATTACGGCAAATATGCTGGAGCTAAATCTGCCATTAATTAAATTCTCACCTATTTCCCTACATTCATGGATTTCACTAATCACTTACTTCCTGTGTAGTACCAACTAATTTTGTGGTATCTATTTTCTTATTTAAATTGGTCCTAATTTCTCTTTTTACTTCTGTCCTTTCTTCCCTTTGATAGCTTCTCTTGCCTCTTGCTGCAAGAATGTCTGAGGAGTCTTACTTTGAATCTAAAACAGAGGAGTCAAACAGTGCAGAGATGTCATGTCAGATCACAGCAGCAAGTAACGGGGAGGGCCATGGCATGAACCCAAGTCTGCAGGCCATGATGCTGATGGGCTTTGGGGATATCTTCTCAATGAACAAAGCAGGAGCTGTGCTGCATTCTGGGATGCAGATAAACATGCAAGCCAAGCAGAATTCTTCCAAAACCACATCTAAGAGAAGGGGAAAGAAAGTCAACATGGCCCTGGGGTTCAGTGATTTTGACTTGTCAGAAGGTGACGATGATGATGATGATGACGGTGAGGAGGAGGAGAATGACATGGATAATAATAGTGAATGAAAGCAGAAAGCAAAGTATTAAAGTTGGAAATGTTCAGAAAGAAAAAAAGGAAAGAAAATTGTTCTCTCAGTCTGCATAAATAACAGTAAGGAGGCAGAAAATCAAGCACTGCATTGTTAGGCCAATCACATTTACAGGACAGTCATTTCCTTATCTATTTAACTTTTGATTGATTTTTGCTTATAGAAAGGGGGAATGATTAATCCAAAAAGATATATTTATGAATCAGCAAATACGGTGCCTGATTATAGAAATTTGTACTTCTATATACAATATAGTATTTTTAAACTAATGACATTCTGGATTTTTCTTTTTTTAATGAATATTTTATAGTTTGTATTTGACTTTATTTTATTCCCTTTATTCACTTAGATAAGAAAACTTGCATTTTGAACAAGCACCCTTCACTCCTAATTCTTTTTTGACACTTGATTCTTCTGGAACATATTACATTTTTTTTTCTTATGACAATGTATTGTAACGTCAAAAATGATTGATAGTGACTATAAAATTCAACCACAAAAAGATTGACGTGAAAGAAGATTGTAAGAAAATGCTTCTTCAGAAATACCTAAATGCCAAGAACCTTTAATACTTAACAGCACAGCTGCTCAAAGTGCTACCTGGGAACTGTTCTCAATAGTCCATTTGAAGGTAGATACTCCTTCTGAAGCCAACAGTAGGTGGCGGCTTGCATACCAGAGCTAACCCAGGAAGCACTTTAACAACAACATACCATCATATAAGGCTTATCCACAGAAAGGGGGTGTGGGGGGCACCTGTCCCAAAGGGATACTCCCAGGTAAGCACATACTGAGCACCGGCCTGCTCTTCACTTCCAGTAAGGGCGCTCTGTATGACCTTTTCTTGGTTTTCCAGAGGGGTGTGATAATACTGAATTCAAAATATATGTATCGATATCTTAAAGAAGAAAGTAAATGTTTTAAAATGAAAGCAAAGATAAGTCACCCTTACTTAGGTATAAGCAAATTCTGAAGGGTGCTTTCTATATCCAATCTAGTTTCTCAGAGTAGTTTTTTTTTTTGTTGTT